ATATATATATATATATATATATATATATATATATATATCATATCAATAGTCAAATTTCACTTGACTTCTAAAAGTCACAGTCAGGAGAATCTTAAAACCTAAAGACAACTCAATATTTACATCTCTGCTCAGCACACCTATGTCAGGTCAGTGAAAGAAGTAGGATCAAAAGGGTGGGAAAGACAGCTTATGGAGTAACATTCTTTTCCTTTTGCTAGAGCCAGGTAAATAGGGAGTGAGAAGGAGAGGAGGCAGGGATCAGGAAGACTGACGAGCCCTGAGCCTTGGGACCGTCCAAGCACAACCACAGATCCTCCCCACAGTGACAATATAAAATTGGTGAGTCCATATTTGCCTAGATAGAAGAAAGGAATTATAGACCAGAACTTGTCAGACTTTAATGTGCAAAGGAATCATCTGAGGCTCTCGTGACATAACCTTTGGATTCAGTGGCTCAGGGTGGGGACTGAGCACTCCCAGGGGACGCTGCAGAGGCTGGTCCAAGCCAGCCCTAAGGGAGCAAGACCACAGACTAACCCACATTCCCTACTGCTCCTCTTTCCCTCTGGACAATATTCAGACTCTGCACATCATGCTCTTTGCTTTCTAAGCCTCCGTACAAACACAGGCTCTTCCTCCTCCCTCAGCCCACAAATATCAGTTTTTTAAAAGCCATAGGAGAGTTTACCTCGTTGGTAATCTGGTTGCTGAACTTTGCATGAAGGAGATTGGGGGTGTCCGTCACAGTCGTGTACTTGATCGACCCAGGATGCTGACGGTATTTACTCTAAATCCACACACGAGAAAGGAAGACGACGACTCCGTAAGGTTTAAACCCAGAGGAGAACCAGTTCTTGGAATACTAGTTAAAGACTCATTTTGCAAAGGCTGCAAGCCTGTCGCTCCAGAGTCCAGTCGGTCCCCTACTCTTGTGACCTCCCAACTTACGGGGATGAAGAAGCAGAGAGGAGGACAGGACGGTGGACTGAACCAGACACTCATGAGGGGAAGGGGAGAGCTAGCCTTTGCCATGAAAGCAAACGAGACTATTTAAATTTGAAGTTTGCTCCTGAACAGAGACCCGGTTGCCCTGTGCTTGAGGTGACACTAGGGCCAGCTTTGTAGCCTCTAACCATGCACCTGCCACACAACCCAGGAGACCAGTAATCCCAGATACTGGGGAGGCTGAGGATCAGAAAGTCACTAGTGGGGCCCACATCTCTGGGTTTTCTTTTAAGCTTCAACAGGGTTCTGATGTATCATGAGCTTAAGAAACCTTCATTTTAGTGACTTCCTTGAAGAACTGGAGCACAAACAAGACCTAAACTCCCACGAGAAGCACACTGGGAACCCACTGGAGCTCCTGCGCTGCACTCTGACACCTTCTACTCCTGTGCCTCCATTATGTACCCTTGTCCTTGCATAGACTGTGGAAAGAAGTCCTGTGGGCATCTCAGGACTGAGCTACATTACCCAGGGGTGCAGAATTCTAAGCATTGCATATTCTCAAAAATTACCACCGATCTTATAGTGAACACTTTGTATATAGCTGACACATGAACTGTGCTTGGATTAGTGTGAGTCCTCACAAAAGCTAAATGGGGAGGCATGAGTATTCCCATTTGACTAATTAAGAAACTGAGGCTCAGAGAGAGCTGGTCACTGGTCTGAGGACATACAGCAAATGAATACTGGTCTGAAACTTCAATCTCTTATCTATTGGTCTCCAAAGCCTGTTGGCTTTGCATTGTACCACAGGGCCACTTTTCAAAGGGACAGTGAATAATTGTTACATGTTAATTCAGGAACTGACTCCAGGGTCACAATGACATCTTCAATGGCATCTAACTGCATGGAAAAAAATCAGTGAGGACAGAAGCCAGGCAAGAGGCTAGGTGGTGAGCCACCACTGTGACAACTTAAGTTCCCACTGGCCTTACAGCCCCACCCCCAGTCCCAGTCACCTCACTGATGAGCTCAGATGCCCTCTTTCTTCCTTCTATCTCTAACGTGCCTGGAATGACGCAGGCAACGCCTCGCATGAAGTTCAGGTCTGAGCGGTACAAATTCTGCAAGGAACAATACAAAGAATCAGAAAAGCTGAACCCTCAGAACAATAGCAAGGAGAAGCCAGAGGTCTGTGACATAGCATCTGTCATCATTAGAACTCAGGGCCGCGTCCGTCTCTCAGATACACCATGCTCAGCGATCGCACAGATGCTTCTTGGTAAATGCTCATTAGGGGGGAAAATGTAGGTCAGAAGAAGATAATTCTGCTGTCACTTGTCTCAGAGTAGCTGTGGTAGCGACGCTAGACAGATTTTCATTTTAATGTGAGCTATCAAAAAATAAACGCTGGGGTGGATTGCGGGTAGGAAGTCAGTCGTCTTGGGGCGCGCGTGCAAATGGCTTAACAGGTCTTCTAAAACAAAACCCGGCAGCAGCGGGTGTCATTAATTAATTATGGGTTAAGAAAGAACTAATAAACGAATCCAAAACACTCTGGCAAAGACCTGTCTGAGCCTGCCTGGATAGGGGCGAGCGTGTGCACCAGAGTGATTTGGGATGACAGTTTAAAGAGTCCCCAAAGTCACTCCCCTCAGCCAGCGAGGTGGCCCCTGGGCCTTCTGCCTTCCAATTGCCATCACGACAGGAGGCAGGGCAAGCGAGGGCTCTGTGCAAGTGACAAAGGGGCCCGGGATGAGTGTGGCAGCTCCCTGGTTCCTACAGCTGCTCTCAGGTTCCTGACAGCTGATGTCATTGAGTAAACACCGTACACAGGCATAAAACTCCAAGAGACGACAGACACCAGACCTGAGCGCCGCTCAGCTCGCTGGCACTGCCAAACCAGGAACGGGGTCTCGTGTGGTGTTCTACTCTCCTACAGAGGCCCGTTACCTGCAAATCTCGGAGCACGCACACCTGGCAACCTGGGATAGAGGTGTGAGCAAAACAGGCTGCTGCTGCTGCTGCAGAGGAGCGTTAGCTGCCTCTCCTCCAGAGCCAGTAAGTCCTCCTTCTTCCTGCCCCTCCCTGGCCTGCTGCAGAGGACAGGCACCAGGAGAAGCCTGAAGAAGGGGCTCTGATTCCCCAGACCTCCTCCTGCGCTCGCTTCCCCTGACGTGTGTCAGTTGATGGATGGGCTCTGAGCAGCGTCTACAGACACATCTTAGTGCTCCCCAGAAGGGGGGACAGGAGTGGAGAAAGCTCCAAAAGGAACCCTCCATCCAATATGCAGCCAGAGGCAAAGCCACTGGCAACTCCTGAGTGTGAAAATGTATAAACCTAAGGGCATCTCCACCACTTGAACCTCAAGTTCAAGTCTAGCACCCCCCCTCTCTCATGTACAGTTGTGTGATCTTGGGTAAGCCGTTTATCTTCTTGGCACCTCACTGTAACTTCTCTGTGTGGTGGGGATGAAGACCATCCCTTCAGGGTTAGTGTGAGGAGTAAACAAGAGAATGGGTGAAAACACGGTGCTTGGAATTGAGCAAAAATACTCAGTAAGTGGTGGTTGTCCTTATTGACTCATGTAATTGTGCAGGAACTCTCAGGTTGTGCCTCAGAAGAAGATGCACATTTAGGATTCCCAAGGCCTGCGGCCTTTACTGAGCTGTCAGGAGCTGCAGGCCAGTACTGCACAGTCAGACCTGGGAGAAGAAGGGCCTTGAGGGAGAGGCCAGGCCTCCTTACCTCGCTCTGCAACTTGTGAGCTTTCTTGGCACAGCGCAGCCTCAGGTCTTCTGCCAAGGACGTGTGCTGGGGGAGTGGATGTCTGTAGTCCTGGTCGCTGGCCAGGGTCTGAGCCTTCTTGGCGTGCACCAGGGTTACCATGTCCAACGGCAGATGGAAGTGTGCCTTTGAGTGTTCAAAGCCTTTCTTGTAATTCACCTGGAGGGGCAAACAGATCAACAGCGGCTATTTCAAAGCCACCATTTGCAATGGGACTGTCAGCAAGAGCCACTGCAGTGTAAGTGTCCCAGGTCAGCCCCGGGGATGTTCCTGACAGGATTTGTGCTCCTTACTTGTGAGGAATGGCCTAATAAGCAGGGCTCAACTCCAAGTCCTGCCATTCAGCACCCCAGCTCCTGGAGGTCATTGATTTGGGTAAAGAAGGCCCACAGCTCCCCTGTTAGGGGAGAATACAAGGCCCAGGATAGAACGTCAGTGATCTCCTGGCTCAATTCGTTAGATCTTCTCATTTTTCCAGAGGTATGAAGACGCACGGCCACCCTGGACCCTGTCCACTTTTTACTCTTTTCCACACCATCCACTCAGGTTCAGGGTTCAGACACCAAGGGTCCTCATCTCACAGTAACTAAGGAAGAACTTTCTCAAAATATTAGGTGACTTCCTGGTCAACCTGAGGGCCAGGAGCAGTAGGGTGGATGCCTGGAGAGCCAGCCCTGAGGGATGGACATTCCCCAAACCCAACGCATTTCCTGAGAAGGTAAGGGAAACCCACTCCAGACCACGGCTCCACACCCTCCTGGAGGAGCTACTGGAAGGCCTGTGGATTTCAGCCAGGGCCCTCTCGGGAGTCAGGTGCGTAATCACCACCTTCTCTTCCTCGTCCTCCTCCATCTTTCCCATCGCTTCCCTGAAGCTCCATCACCCCACCCTAAATTGCCACTCCACTTATCCTGCCCTCGCTCTATCTAGCACAAGGCCAAGCACGATTCATGCCCAACCCCACAGTCACAGGACAAAAAGAAAGGGGGGTGGGTATTAGAAATGGGGAAACCGAGACAGAGAATAAAACAGCCAAGAACATGTGAAGCTGTGGAAAGAGTATGAGACATGGAGTCGGCGCCCCTTCCTGGCCTTGCTCCTCTCTAGTTGACCTTAAGTAAGGGACTGAACCACCCAGTCTCTAATTATGACTTGGATATGAGGTGTCCCTCAAAAGCTCCCGTATTAATGCAAGAATGTTCAGAGGAGAAATGGCTGGATTGTAAGAGGTGAGAAGATTAGATTATGAGAGCTGTAGCCTTATCAGTTCATCTGAGTTTGAACGGTTCAGCCGGCGGGTAACTGTAGACAGGTGGGTCATGGCTGAAAGAGGGGGGTCATGGAAGTGAGCCCTGGAAGGGTGCATCTTCCCTGTGGCCCCATTCCTCCTTCTCTCTTTCTGTTTCCTGGCTGCCATGAATGGAGCAGAGCTCTCCCATCATGCCTTTCCGCCACGATACTCTCCCTCACCTTCAGCCCAAAGCAATGGACTTGACTGACCATGGACTGAACCATGAACTATGAGCCCAAATAAACTTTCCCTCCTCTAAGTTATTCTTGTCAGGTATTTTGGTCACAGCGATGCAAACCAACACAGTCTCCATCTCCTTATCAGGAAACCAGGGTGAAAAACAAGGCAGAGTTAGTTCCCAGAGATGGTTTGAGGTTTTATGAGACATTGTACATGACAGCATTTGGACTTTCGTAACATGTTGAATGCAGATGTTACCAGTGGTGTTAGCCAGCTCACATGTGCAAGGAGACAGCATGTACACACATGTGCCAACACCCCAGGGGTCAGGATCAACTCTGAGGGTGGTGGCAAGCTCAGATGCCCACATTTGTGCAGGTAGCACAAATAAGTGAAGGAAAAGGCAGAGGAGGAGGGGCAGCTGCTGGCCAGGAGAGCACAGAACCCCTCTGTAGGGAGCTACCAGCAAGATGTTGGTAAGCAACCTCAACCCACGGTGGCCTTCGGGAACCCAGTCTAGCTTCTCAAACTTTTATGTCACACTTTCCGTTTTTAAATGTTTGCAGCTAATTCACTCCGCAGACCAAACAAAATACCTCTGCAGGCCATAGGCCACCATTTGCGGTCAGTGTTCCAAATCAAAGAATGTCCTGCCCGGAAGGGAACTAAGGGGTCAACTCATCCAACCTCATTTGATAACAGAAGAGGCTGAAGTCCAAACGCAATTTAACAACAGAACCAATGCCCACTTCCACAAGGACAAGTGACACTAGTTGGCTGTGCCATGAGCATGGTTAAGCGGGGCCCCCGGCTCCGGTCGCATTTTCTCCTACTTACATCACTCTGCAGTGAGGTCGCGTGCACTGAATGTGCAAGGCTGAGATCATCTTCCAAGCTCCGGGAGCCAAGCATCTGTCCTTTCATTTTCTCAAATGCCTCTTTGTATTTGTACTAAAGGGAAAGAGAGCGGGAGAGAGTAACAGCTCGGGGACAAGGGACACGGAATGGAAGAGGTGGGTATTGGGCAAAAATGTTTTGTTCTTTTGACAGTAACTGGGTGAGTTAAAAGAAAACGCGCGGGAGTTGTCAAAAGGTCTATTCTTTCATATGCAAGACTCCCAATGACTAAAGGGCTCAGCTATGAAATGGCAGGACACATTAGCACTTGGGCGGCCGGGGCTGCAAGAAGGTGCACGCATTGTTAACGGTCTCTTCACACAGACTCCCTTTATGAAAACTCTTGGTGGAGGGTACATTTCATCTGCCCGGGGTCCATGTTTACAGTCCAGCATTTGGCTTTGTACCCCCGGCTAGGGAATTTTTTTTTGTTGTAAGGTATGTTCTTTTGCACTGGTCATTATCTGATTGCCCTAACACAGTCAGTTCGGAGAGGAGAGGAAATTATCCACAGGCAAAAGAAGGCAGGGGTTAGAGGCAAAAAAGAGCTAAAGCTGGGTAGGATGAAACATTGTCATAGTATCGGATGCTCACATCACTTATGATTTCACTAGAAGCCTTTGCTGCCTGGAACGGAATGGCATCCAACCTCAGTTTATATCCACCGTCTCGAAGTTTACTCCAGGATTCCTTATACCGTGTCTGGAAGAAAGATGTGTACAAATAAAGACCTTCGTGTGACCCGGTGGTTCCTAAACTCTGGTTTACCAAAGTCGGAATCTGGTTTGTGGTGGGCTTCTCTCCCCCCCGACCCCAATCCTAACCCCAGTTGGGTTTGGAGATCACTGGGCCTTAGAACAAATGTTCAGAGTGGGCTCCTGCCTCCCACCCACCGTTGGCAGGTAAACCACAGAGAGAGGGGTTAAAAGCAAAGAGTCAGACCCAGATTTTTCTGATCAGCAAGTTGACTGGAAGAAGGGGGTGCAAGGCTGCATTTGCATAGCTCTTCATGTTAAGATAAAGAAAAACCAAATGTCTCTATTGAAGAATAGGAGTGGCATGTAGGAGTGTAGATGGAGATTATGGGGGACCGGAGTTAAGCCCCCAGGCATCTCCTTGGCACAGCCCCAGATGCACTCAGCTTTACTGAGATACTTCCACACTTCAGCTCCTTGGTACACATCCCTTTGCACCGAGGCAGGTAGGTCGTCTTCCCTGGCTCATTCTCTGCAATGAGCTCAACACTTCTGCAGAATCAGCTACATCATTTGCAGGGCCCAATGCAAACCAAAGTGTGGCTCTCCTTGTTCAAAATGGCCACACGTTTCAAGAGCGTGACAGCAAAGCTTAAAACCAGCCCAGGACCTTTTGAACACTGGGCATGGTGCATGCCCATGAAGGTACCCTGACTTGCATCATGGAAACCAGTGTCCCTAGTGGTTCAGGTCAACCTCACCTCGCTGATGTTCATGGCATTCAGCTTGGCCAGCAGGACCTCAGGCAGGTCTGTGGTCTGCGTGTAATGATGCTTTATGTTCTCTCCTTGTTCCCGGTACAGCCTCTGTGGATGGAGAGAGGGTTTGCATTAAACCCAGAGCCTCCCCATGCATTGGGCACATTGCACTCCAGGAGACCAAGGTGCTGTAGCTACCATGTCCTCATGGACACAGGATCGCGGGCACCCTGCCTGCACCCAGATTTATAGCTGACATGGCAACGTGCACATCATTCTCTCCCCAATTCTACTTTCCAGCTCAGAATATGACAGCTCAGAATATTTCCCCTCTGTGAATACGCCACTCCTAGCACACCTCTGAGGTGAGTGCAAACAAGAAAACGAAGTCCAGTTTCCATCCGGTGATTTGGTTATTAACTAAAAGTGGCGAGAGGGCATGAGGAGGCAGAAGCCTGTCTGTGGGGTTCCTCTGACTCCATCCCTGTCCCCTCTCCCATCTCAAGGATTCTTGTCCTAATAAACCTCCCCTGGGTGGGTATGGGGCTCTTTTAACCCATAGCTCTGATTTTGGCTTCTGATATCCTTGTAGTTTGCAATGACATGAGGAGTTGGCATCAGTAACCAGAGAAAGTTTCTAAGCCAGGGTTTTCCATCCCAAATCTTAGCTGCTGTGTCCAAGTTCCTGCGTATCACAGCAGTGCCCCCTAGAGGTGATTAGGGTAAGGAGGAAGCAAGTATTGTTTTTCTCAGAAGAAATTCCTATTTGACCATCTGTGTTTCTCAGAATTCAATTTGATTTTGATGGGCTGATTAACAAGAAATTATAAATTCCTGAGCCCATAAGCTTGGAAATCATCCCACTGCCTATTCTGACAAGCGCCCGGCCCATTTCAGAATTCCTGTCAAATAAGGCACAGCCGGAATGATATGCTGGGACGCAAGGGAGAGAATTTTAAAACCCCTACCCATGAGGTTTGGGAATTTTCCATGTGGCAAGTTGAACGATTTGAAGAAATTTAAAATGTAGCTCTGCTTTACCCAAAGAGCCATGGGCTCCTCTCAATTGAATTGGCCAGAGCTAACCAATGTCCCAAAGTGAATTTTTATAGGAACTTGTCATTCTGTTTAGTCTCTTGTGAACCCAGCACTGAGAGGGCAAAGGGTCAAACCTTGGTTCCACATTATAAAGGGAATATGGGAAATGGCTTGAAAGCCAGGCTAATGTCCATAAATCAGATTCAAATCGTTTTCAAAGTCTGGGAAACAGAACTATTCCTTTCCTTGGGTCCTATAGACCCCTAAGCATGGCTTCGGTATTCCAATTAGCAAGAATCTCACCCCAAGTTCCCTTCTGAAAAATAACACTTTCAAACAAAGGAGGGGGGGAGGACTCATCACGGAATCTTCAAGACATGCAAATGGGCAGGAAGGAGAGCATCTTGGGGCAGTGGGGTGCGGAGCCCCACTTGGCATCCTAAGTGCAGGAACGCCCCGTTTGCATCCTAATGAGGAAGCACCCCCGCTAAGGGGAGCCTCAGCAAAGGACAAGGAGCTCCTTCATCCTTAGGACGACAGAAGGAGCAAGCCCAAGATCCCCTCCGCTTCAATCGCACTGTTGAAAGAAGGGCCCACTCTTAGAGTCATAATGTATATACATTATCACTTACATCCACTGCTTGGGTATAACTAATTCTGGCCTGGACCATCTCCGGAGTGTCTTTAATACTGGTAAACTTCAAAGCATCTGGATGCTGACGGTACTTCTTCTGTTGAGCAGGAAAAGATCAAAGCTGTGAATTTTGTGCTGCTCTTTCATGCCATTTGAAAGAGAAAATCATAGGTTGCTTGAGATTAGAGTGAATTTGTGAACATAATTATTATTCTGCTTCCTCCATCTTTATATCCTAGGTGCCTTCAGGTTAATATTTGTTTCAATTTAAGAATAACCTCATGTCAATTAACATTAAAGTATTTCTACCTGGTGCAAAGACAACATCTCAAAATTAGGTTATACCAGTAAAAAAACTGTAGGATCCACACTTAGGAAAGGATTCCTTTTATAGGCTTCAAATACTATGTCGCAGTTGTTTACATATCTTAGTTTGGCTCTGAGAGCGTTCATAGTTACTTATCCATTGAAGCTTTCTATTTTCTTTCCATAAAAGGACTTGGCACACATTATCACAGTCAAAACCCTGGCATTTAACAGTCAGGGAACGTACACTAGCCAATAACTTAAGAGGCTGGTTCGGTTAGCATGTGTAATAATTCTTTAAAATATTAAATAAGAAAAGGGTGCTATGATTGGAATGAGTCACCACATAAATTAAGAGACACTGGAACAAAAAAAAAAAAATTCACATGCTGGCAAAGGCCTTAGAACCCAATTTTGAAAATCATGCTTAAATTAATTCCTTTTTCCTTTAATCAAAGTATTCTTCCCAGGCACTGAAATAGTTGCTATTTTAATAGGACTGTGTCGTTTGTTTTCCCAAATCAAATAATTATTTAATAAATATCCCTTTATTTATCCTAGTTGGGCTTTTGTGTATGGTGCTAAGTCGTATTAGATGCAGTCAAATGTAGCCCATTACCCATTTTTGTAAATAAAGTTTTATTGGAACACAACCATGATCATTCACCTATGTATTGCATATGGTCATTTTTCAGCTAGTTGTGAAAGGGTCCATAAAACCTGCTGGGCTAAGAATATTTACTATCTGGTCCTCTCTGGTCCTTTGCAGAAAAGGTTATCTGACTCTTGCTTTACACCATAGGCATGTGGAGAGTCTGTGTGCAGGTGGGGGTGTGGGTGTGTATGCATGCATGCCCACCTGTGGCTCTTTCAACAATGCCTGGCACCCTGACAGTTAAGAAGTCAACTCAAGGGAACAGTAACTTAAAAACATGGTGGCCTGAAGTGAGATAGTTGGGAAAGATTGTTGAGTGATGTCTTCCCTTTCTCCCTGAAGTTTGAGGACTGGTATGAAACAAAGACATTAAGAAAGATAACCAAATTCCTTGAGAAAGTTTGCAAAATGATGTCATAAATTAAATCACCAAGGGATAAATGGTTCCCAAAAGATTTCTTGGCTGCCAGACTTAGACTCATACCAGAATTACTTTGAAGGCAAGTTATGCAGATGGTGGTCTTTACTCTTCGTTTCCTTTTATGAGTAGGCCCCAAATTGAGAGGTAAGGATCATGAATCATCAAACCCAAATGTTTGTTCCTCTAAGTTTTTCAGGTTCATCTGCCTGAGAGGGTCTCTCCTTAATTTTACAGAACAACTTAGGGCAGTACTGTCCCCACTGAGATCTGAGGACCTTCTGAGCCTCAGGTGTTATTGAATAAGGTCCCTACGCTGATCTGGGTGAGGCCACTTTTGAAATCAACCCTGCTGTGTGTCATGTAACTAGAATGCTCTCCCCTGGGAAAGTATCAATGCGGAGCAGGTGTGCTTGAAAAACCAGCATGGGTGTCCCTCTGTGTGGACTGTGCGTTTAGTAAGAAAGTCTCCTCAAAACAACGTCCCAGGATGCTCATTGCCAAAGCTTAAGCATTTAAGGGATGTGGCCATTGTGATGCCCAGAAAAATCCAGAAAGATCAGAGTACCCTGAAGTTAGTCGAATGCTCACCTGCCTCCTGAGCAAGCCCCTCCCCAAACAGACATGAAGAGGGCCGGGTGGGTGGTTTGATGGGGGGCCTCTGTGTGAGCAGGAGCCATGAATGACTGGCCGGGGGCACCCAGTCCAGTGGCAATTCTGCCTCCTGGAGGACATCTGCCCATGTTTAAGACCTCTTTGGTTGTCACAGTGAGGCAGAAGGTGCTATGGGAATCTGGGGTCCAGAGATGCTGCTAAACACCCTGAGAGAGACACAGGCAGCTCCCCACAGCACGGAGTTAGCAAAGCGTCAACCGTGCTAAGTCTTTAAAATTGCTGCTCAATGAACCGTCCTGAAAGGTGGTGAAATGGCTCTTTTTATAAGCAGGAATGCCCTCGGGTCCAGCCAGGGTGGCTATAAGTTGGCAGGAGTGAGATTTAAATTCAGTAGAATCTAATCTACTCTCACAAGAAAGCAACAACCATGTCACCACGTCGGACACCACGTGAATATTCAAAAACTGTTTACACTGTGGCCGAAAGAGAGAAGGAAAACGGGCGTAAAGTCACACAAAGCGCTTTCTGGGTGCAATAAATGTATCTTTTCATCATCTCTCCTGTGCTGCTTCATTAAAAAGGTAAGTTGGTGGGTAGCAATTGAGCTCCTTTTGATTGTCATTATTATTCATAATGTCATTTGTCACCCACTTTGTTTTTGCTGGGGCTCTATGGGCCCCCACTGGTGTGTGTTTGGTATGTGGTTTCCCTCTAATTACCAGCCCTAGTCCGGGTTCGGAGGCCTTTCATGTGGCTTTGCCTTCTTCTTTGCCTTTTGAGTGGAAATTATTTTAATTTTATACAGAAACGCCGCACGCCTAATGCAGCCAGGCCTGGTACACGCTGTCAGGAAATCTCACCTCGCTAATGAGTTCTCCTGCCTTCTTTGCCTGCTCCACATTTAATGACCCGGTGGCGACCCAGCCCGTGCCTTTCATCCACTTCACATCTGCCCTGTATTGGTTCTGACAAAGGAGAGAGAGAAAAAAAAAAAAAAAAAGAAAGAAAGAAAGAAAAAAAAGAAGAAAAAAAAAAGGCAGGCCATTGTTGGTGCACAGACATTTAAAGGGCTATTAACGGCTCCCGATGTCCCCTTGGTGCCAGCTGAGTCAAATCATATGCCACTCTTGTCTTATCCATTTCTGCACAGTCACAGGTAGGGCTTCCAAATGTAAATTAATTTCCTCTTTAATTGGAGCCCTCCCTGTGGAGCTGGGCTTTAGGCCCCGCCCACACTCCTGGGGGTAGAGCAGGAGGGACCAAACCCACCTTGGCCCTCATTACGGGGACTCAGGTCTACCTCGGAAAGAAGCGCATCCTCATTGTCTGCACTTCCAGTTTTCTTGTTTAAAATGACACGAAGGGGAGAAATAAATGAGAATTCGTAACAGAACTCAGGCGGGAGCTATTGGAGGGAATTTCACAAGACATCCGAGGCTTCCCACGGTGCCAATTCCTGCCCTCCACCATGGTAGGGGGCAGGAGGAAGATGTTTCTCGTTTCTTTACTTGCCATTGAAGGAGTACTTTTAATGGACAGTTATTTAAATGGACACTTCTCCCAACTAGCCTATCATCTGTGGATCATGAAACAGTCTTGCCCGGAAAAAAAAAGTGTGAGTACACACACTCACACACACAAACACATGAGCACACACATGTATGGAATAGTCTGGCTACAGCTGACCCGCCTTTTCCACTCACCCACATTCTTGCACAAGAGCCTACTAAAGACAGAAAGAAAACGGCACCCGGTGGGTCATAAGGGGGAAGGAGAAGGTTTTTGAAGGCTGGCCATCTGGTCATTCCCAAACTGAGGAGCCATAGTGACACTCTCCCTTAGCCAACCACAGCTAAGAATGTCACAAATACATTTTCCCTAGTGGTCAAAAGAAACCTGGAAGACGTATGTAGATCAGAATCCAAGAAGGAACAAGTAGCTCTGTGATTTTCTATTAGTGCGGAATTTAAAATGGGCATAATTTCTATAAAGGTTAAACCAGCAGGAAGCTAAGGTGTTTCCACTTAGGGAGCCAGAAACAGGCATCCCATAGCATCACCTTGTTTTGAAGCGTGTGGGGGACACACTTGCACCAGCACTAGCACCCACGTGCACACACACACATAGAGCTTACATCACTCTGCAAGCCATACGCCTTCTTGGCCCACTCCACCTTCATGTCCGTGGGCAACGCTGTGAAGTGATGGGACACTGTCCTGTAGCCTATGTCTGTGGCTAAGTGCTGAGCCTGGCGGGCGTGTGCCAGGTGGATCATGTCCAGGGAGACGTGGCACTGGGACTTGGTGTCTTCGAAGCCCTTTTTGTACTCCAATTCGCTCTGCAGTTTGGACATTTGCAGCGAGTGGCTCATTTGAGAATCCCCCTGTGCACCCTTGGCCCCGATGAGCTTCCCTCTGGACTTCTCATAGTCCTCCTTGTACTTCACCTACATGAGGGCAGCAGAGCAGCAAGACGTGAGAATCCCCTCCAGGAGCTGTTCAGATTCTAACTGGAGGCATGTGAGTTAGAACAAAGCCTTTGACATAATCCTAAAAGAATTAGAATTTGGACAACTGATATATTTCCTTTCATCAAATGAGGAGATAAAATATTATTACCCATTAATTCTATTTTTTTTTTTACCTTGGCTGCCCAAAAGCTCTGGCAGCTTCCTGAATGCTGAATGCTCAGCTATTATCAGTCTTTTACCAATTTTCTTATGAAATTCCAACTCCTCTCTAATAATTTGAGATCATTCTTTCGGGATTTATTTTTAAATGGCCTGGGTTTATTTTTTCCCCCACAAAAATAATCTTAATTTTTTTTTAAAATTCTTTTCTTTTTCAGACATAGAAGTTAGGCAAGTGCTTCACCACTGAGCTATACCCCCACCCCTAAATCTTTTTAGAGAGTGAGATCATTGTTTTTAAAAAGTAGTCATGAAATGAAAAAGACATGGAATAGGCAACATATAACTGGTATTTAAGAAAGGAGCTCAAGGAATATGGGAATTTAAAAGAGTATGTTTCCTGAAAACTGAAGAATTCACTAGGCCAGGGGCAGAGAGAACCAGAAGGAGAGTCAATGGGAAATGCTTGGGCAACCGTAGCACTATGCTATGTGGCACTGTTTTCAACATTTTTGCTACTCCATTAGGAGACCTGGGCTCCACCCTGATCTCTTGCCTGCAACATCATCAACATCTGCTGCTATTTATTGCACACTCACTGAGCCAGGCATGGGGTAACCAGGTGCCACTCAAAGTGCATCCACAAACTGGTTTGCAAAATGTTGCTTGCTGACTACAAGGTAAGGAGCTCATGTCAGAGTGAAAACCAACCATGTGACCAAGCCACTGGCTCAACTGGTGTTTTTTTTTTGTTTTTTTTTGTTTTGTTTTGTTTTGTTTTTAAAGCAAGACTTCCATGATGGAGGAAGCAGAGTTTGACTTATGCTCTGACCCAAACACCTTATCTCCCATCAGGCTCATAACAGATGACATTGGACTATAAAACAACACATCCCTGGATGCAGTGGCACATGCCTGTAATCCCAGTGGCGCAGGAGGCAGAGGCAGGAGAATCACAAGTTCAAAGCCAGCTTCACTGCAACTTAGCAGGGCACTAAGCAACTTAGCAAGACCCTGTCTCAAAATAAAATATCAAAAGGGCTGGGGATATGGCTCAAAAGTTAAGTGCCCCTGGGTTCAATCCCCAGTACCAAATAAATAAATACACATCAATTCATTTCATTTCCACCTGACCATTTTGCAATTACCTGTTTACCAGAAAGTTAATTACTGAAGGGTTAAACAATCTGCCCAAAATAACAGTGCTGAGAGGTGACAGAGCTGTGGTTGTAGCCAAGGTCTGACATCAGAGCCTATATTCTGTTTCTTTTTTTGGTTCCAGGGATTGAACTCAGGAGCACTTGACCACTGAGCCACATCCCCAGCCCTATTTTGTATTTTATTTAGAGACAGGGTCTCACTGAGTTGCTTAGCGCCTCACCGTTGCTGAGTCTGGCTTTGAATTCGAGATCCTCCTGCCTGAGTCTCCCAAACCACTGGGATTACAGGTGTGCACCACTGCACCTGGTTAGAGCCTATATTTTTAACCATGGCTACAGCAGATTTAGAAATAGAACATCATAAATCACATTAGAAAGATACGGACCATCTCTGGACATCTGTAAAGTGAGGACCCTGGATTCTTGCTCTTACTAGTACTATTACTAAGTTACCACTTACCAACACAGAGGCCCAGTAAGTGCTTTCCCAGGGAACTAGCAAGGGTAGCCATGCTGGTTATTATCCCCCTTTACACATAAGAACTCTGGGGCTTATGAGGATAAAGAACCTGCCCCAGTTCCTTGAGACCCTCCCAGACATTAGGCAGCAGGACCCCACACTCCCCCACACTCTGGGGGCTGACTCACCTCGCTCGCCAGGTCCCTCTTGGCTTTGGCTGCCAGGAAGGTCAAGGAATCAAGACTCAGCTCAAACCCTCTTGCCTTCTGGTTTTCCCAGCTGCTCTTGTACCGTTTCTGGGGGATTTAGGAGACAAGAGATCATCCTCTGTGAGAGGGCTTCTCCAGACTCTGAAATGACCTTGCTAACAAGGAAACCGCAATCACATCTTCCCTGGAAACCGAAAGCCCCAGGCTCACACAGCCTGAACACACGCAGGCCTCCTTGCTGGTGGCCGAAGACCCCTCGGCACACAGGGCTTCAATCAGAAGACATTAAACTCCAGAAGCCTTGAACATATCAGGAATATGTGAAGCCCCCAAAGACAGGCCACAGGCAGAGCAGCATTGCGCGACACAGAATTTGGGGGAAATCTGTCCTCTATGTCTGTCCACGTGCCCCCAGCGGCAGGGCTCTGGCTGTACCCTTTCTCCATCCACTGGGCCTTTCCTTCCTCCTGTTCCCTGTTCTACACCCACCTCCCGGTTTCCAGGTCTGTTTTGGGGAAGCCCCCCTCCCTTTCTGTGTGGGAATCAATTTAGCATTTGTTTCTCCTTCCAATCCTCGCCACCACCTATCCCCAGATCAGAACCCCAAAGCCCTGGGAGCTGCATGGAGAGCTAAGAGTAGACCCTCCTTAGAAGACAGAGAGGCAGGGGAGACAGGACTCCGGATACTCTCCCACCTGAGGGCAACCACTGCGCATGCTCCTCCAAGTGCCTGATGCATATCTGCCCAGTGAACCCTCATGAAAACCAGCAAGGAAAGGCTAGCCTCGTTCCACTCCTGGGACAACTCAAAGTAAAGAATTTGTCCAAAACGTATGGAACTGGAGGTTATCATGTTAAGTAAGACAGGCAGACACAGAAAGATAAGTATCGCACATTTCCTCTCCTATGTGGAAACTGAAAAAAAAAAAAAAAATCCAGACAACAGAAAACAGAAGATGGGCTATAGGACAGAAGAAGTGGACCTGCGGGGAGAGGAGGGCAAGAGTGGGCACCTGGGAGGGCGGCCCCAATCAAGCAGGACAGACACATGTAAGGGAAAATGTCACAGTGAAGCCCACTAATTGGACAGTTAGTATGACTGAATAATTATAATAAAGAACAACAATAAAAAATAATTTGTCCAAGGTCAAATCCCTGGGACAGAGAAAGATCAGGGATTAAACCCAAGCAATTTAGGGTCAACTTCTGAGCTCTTCCCACTCCCTCTGCCACTACTCAACTTCAACCCCTGGAATAACCACTCCCTGTGACCCCAGGATCCACCCAGAGCCTCAAGTCCGCCACCAGCTCATCGCTAGGGAAGGTCGCCAGCCCCTCCCCAGGAACATGGCCCAGGAACCAGACGTGCTAGGGAGCAACGTTTAGAACCACCCCATGTCAGTCACCTCTGTTGACACAGACACCACCAATGTGGCTGGTGGGCTGCGTGGCTAAAGGCACAAGAAGCAGAGCCCATGGCTGCCCACGCCCCCCGCAGTACCTCGCTGAGGTGAGCAGCGTTGGCCCGGGCCTGTAGGAAGAGAGGCTCGTCTTTGCTGATGGTGTACTGGTGGATAGACTGCTGGTTCTCTGCCTTGTAGGCCACCTGTTGGGAGAGAGCACTGGGTCAGAAGCAGGTGGGGGTGATGGGAAAGGCATTACAACTGCTGCAGCAGGTGGGAAACTGGGGGACACTGCGCCAAGTGAAGCCAGACACAGAGACAAGTACACATGACGTCACTCATCTGTAGGGACTAAAACCAGCAGCTCACATAGAGAGTAGAACAGAGGTCACTGGAGGCCAGGAAGGGTAGAGGCTAGGAAGGGAAGATAGAGGATGGGTAATGGGTCCCACAATACAGATGGCACAGGGTAGTTCTAACGTTGTATACACAAGTGTAAGTATGGTCTAGGACAATTAATTATATATTTCCAAATAACTAGAGAAGAGTTTGAAAATTCCCAACATGACCTTGCTAACAAGGAATGATAATATTTAAGGAGATGGAAATGTTAATTACCCTGATTTGATCATTACACATTGTACATGTTATGGTTTAGAGATGAGGTATCCTCCAAAAGCTCATGTGTAAGACAATGCAAGAAAGTTTAGAAGTGAAATGATTTGGTCATTCGAGCTTTATCTACTCAGTGCTTTAATCCACTTGAATGGATTAACTGGGTGGTAACCACAGGCAGGTGGGGTGTGGCTGGATGAGGTGGGTCACTGGGAACATGCCTTTGGGGTATATATTTTGTCCCTAGTGAGTTGAGCTTAGTCTCTCTTTGCTTCTTGTCCACCAAGTCCTGAGCGGCTTTCTTCCACCACACCCGTCCACCATAGTGTTCTGCCTCATCTCCAGCCCAGGGCAATGGAGTTGACCCTCTGTGGACTGACATCACTGAAGCTGTGATCCCCGAATAAACTTTTCCTCCTCTAAAACTGTTCTTGTCAAGTCTTTTGGTCACAGCAGCAAAAAGCTGCCTGAAACAGTACACATATATCAAATTACAATACTGTACCACAAAAGTAGGTACAAATATTCTACAATTAAAAACAAAAACAATGTAAAGAGAAACAAGCCACCAGGCCAGACACTAGGTGGCAGAATAGAGTAAATTAGGTTTAAATTAGGGCCCAACCTGCAAACCTCTCCAAGGTTTCTACTTTCATACCTTTGTTCCCCAGAAGCCACTGACCTCCCCAAGCTGTTGTCATTTACACTGTGCATGGCCATACAGAATACCCCACCAGGGGGTCAGATTAGCACAGGAGGGAGGGAGAGATAAGGAGCACTCTGCCCTCTGTGCCTCCATGACCTTGATGCATGGGGAGGCACTGATACCAGGAAGGGAGCAGTGACCAAAAGGACAGTAGGAGTGAACTTCTCCTCCACGGAAAACTCAGCACTGTTGCTCTTTCTCTCTCCCTTCCCCCACCCTGGAGTTGAGTTTCCAAACAGTGGCTTTCCACCGACCGGGTGACATTGATAGCATCCTTTACAGCAGGGGGACCTGGACCTTTAGGATGGAAAACTAGAGAGGGTCTGGCCAGGCTGTAGGGAAGAGGGCATCTACTCAGTGCTGGACACTAATCTGTAAATAGTGTACATGGCGCCTCACTGTTCTGCCGCCCATATTTGAGGTCAAATGAGAGTGACCGGCACACATCCCACAGGCAAATGTCCTTCTCCAAGATTTATAGTCTTTTATGAGAGAAGAAAGAGAAAGAAGAAAGAAAGACGGAATACTGAAGGCAGAAAAGGGTCACAGTCCTGCACCCATCTCTAACACTTGGGGGAGAAGGGGGGTGAGCAAAGCAGCAGGGACCAGTGGCCAGTTCCCAGATGCAGCCTGGAAGCCTGAGGAAAGCCGGGTCCAGCCTGTTTAAGGGGAAGGTCCTTTGGTTCCTGGGTCGTGCCTGGGCAGCACCTGCTGTTGTCCCTGAAGACTCCCAGGCCCATGACACAGCAGCCTGGTGGAGAGAGGGCAGCCCGGGACTCACCCCGCTCTGCAGCTCCTGGCTCTTCTTGGCGTGCTCCATCTGCGCACTATCGGTCACACTGGTGAACTTCAGCTCATCAACCCTCTGCCGGTAGTTTTTCTAAAAGGAACAGGACTCCACAGCATTATGATTGGGCTGCCCCCCACCACCATGCACACAGCACATGTGTGTGCACACACTTTCTGTGACCCAAGCGTTTCCCTGGGAAGAATGTTCTAGTTGGTCCTGAAGCTCCAGCAGGACCACATGGCCCCAAGTCGGCCTGCGCTGGTGTTTTCATGGCTATTACTGGGAGGGAACTTTAGTTTTTCCTGTGGCAGAGACTGTAATTCACTGTGTGCAACCAAGTATTTGCATTTTATAAATCTAGCTCTGACATAGGAGGGTTAAGTGGAAGATACTTGGCTTTTGCAACCATAAGGACCTGGGTTCAAACCTCCCCTGTGTCTCTTATCAGCTCCCTGGCACGGGGCGTGTCCCTACAGACCTTCGCCCACCGGGCTCTGACTATACCACAGGGACAACAGAAGCTCCTTCTCTCTGGGGTGGAGCAGCAGCTTCTGTGCTATTCCTCCCATGTGAGCCAAGTCCTTGGCACATGCGTTTAGAACCTCGCTATTGCCACTGTCATCGTTGTCACTACGATTGTCCAAGAAACACTGGCTACAGAAAGGAGGAATACCAGGGGCCACAAGCAGAAGGCTGGTGCTCAGGTGGGATTCACCCTCACAGTGTCTCATCTCCCGGATCACGGAGGTCTTGTTCTCATCGTGTCCCCGTCTCACAGCCACAGATTAATTGGCAAATTGTCAAATGTGCTAATTCTGTCCCCCTGTGGGAACGTCTCGTCTTTCCTGAAGATTAATTAGTTCCTCTGGATTTTCCACCGGAACTGCCAAAGTGGAGGGAAAGGTGGCCTCTGAGGATGGCAGGTTGTAGCAATAGCTTCACATGGTGGTGGGGACACTAGAGATGAGCTCACAGCCCGGGGCCACCAAACTCTCAGTGACGTTAGCAAGGGCATTATAGAACAACTGGACCCAAAATACTGATTGGAACCCTGGGAGCTCCAAATTTCCTCCCTTTTATATAAAAAGGGGTCTAAAGAAAATATGCTAAAGAGTCTTCAAATTTTCCTTCCTTGTTTCACTGTGTAGAATAGGAAAACCCCCTCACCATGTGATGTCACATTGCTCTTCCATTGTTGACATTTCCAGTCACCCCAGACTCTGCCTTGCTCAAATTTACTTACTAACTACTTTCTAAGGAGGCAAAAATCTGTTCTGCCATATAAAAAAAAGTGAAGGGGAAAAATCCTCTTGGCCCCAAACAGCTTAAAAATCTGTAGCCAGCGCAAGAAGTGAGATAGAAATTGATGTTCCTGAGGATAAAGGACCCACTGCCTGGGTCCCCTTCCAGACTGCACCCCTATCCAAGACAGAACAGGCTTTCATTGTTCCACCTGGAAATGAGCGAGTCTCCAGGAAGCTAGGAAGTGGGAACCCCAAAGGATTATTTCTCTCTTTCTACCTTCCTTATTTATACAGACTGGCCCTAAATGTCTTTGTCTGAGAGAAGGGCAGTGGAAAGGTAAGAATAAATGACAAAATATGCTTTTGGCAACATTACCTGTTGCCTAGTGGACAACAGTTAGGGCACTAGGTCTCCCAAGCTGGGTACAAACCCCAGGTTGCTACTCACCTAAAGTTTGACTCAAGTCTCACTTTACTCATACATAAAATGGTAATATTAATAGTATCACCATATCTACCCATATAGGACAGTCGTAACCTATAAATAGCAGTTTGCATTAATGCACTCAAAGTGGTCAATCAAATGCACCAGTGATTAGACAATTATCATCAGTCCATAATGGTACCTATTTGATCACTATTATTATCATTTGCAAGAGATATGCCGACTCAGCCTTCCTGGCACTGAGACAAGAATCCCTTTTGAAGATCCCAAACAAAGTTCCTGAAATAGTCACACTTCCAAATTAAATGTCCTTCCAAAGTCCTCTTCTGCCTGCTGCCATTCCGTGGCATAAAGAGATGCACAGGCTTAGGGCTCCAGGGCCCTTGGGGACTGTCCTGTTCAACCTTCTCATTTTAATACCAGGAAAAAGGGGTCAGGATGGTGAGTGACGTGTCTGAAGTCAGCAAGGCAGTTAAGGCCCAGGCATAAAAAGAATGCTCACTGCAATTATCAGACTCTGATTCAGAAGCAATCACATCCTCCTCACACAAGAAAAACATTACCAGTTGAGTTTCCCTTAATCCAAAATGCCTTTTCTGGATTTCAGATGTTTTTGGATTTTGGAATATTCACATGGACATAAAGAGGTATCATGGGAATGGGACCCAGATCTAAACAAAAAAAAAAAATCATTTATGTTTCACATATACCTCATCCACATAGTCTCAATGTAATTTTATATAATTTTTTTGTGTGTGTGTGTGTATGTGTTACTGGAGAATGTATCCAGGGGATTTTGAGACAGGGTCCCACTAAGTTGTTGAGGCTGGCCTCCAACTTATAATAATCTTGCCTTGGGCTCCTGAGTTGCTGGAATTACAGGTATGCACCACTATGCCCCAGAGTACACAATATTTTAAATAATTTTATATGTGAAACAAAGTCTCATGGTGTGGAATTTACTACTTGGGGCATCATGTTAGTGCTTAAAAACTTTTGGATTTGGGCGCATTTCAGATTTCAGGCTTTTAGCCTAGGGATGCTCAACCTACACAATCTTTCTGTATGAAGTTACTCTTTGGATAATTGTAGGCTTCTTAAAAATCCCTCTCCAGGAAGTTTAAGGGTGTAGAAAGTTAGTTCAGAATGTGCTGCAAATGTAAAATGAAGAAGTACTCTCCCATGAATCACATCTAAAATAAAAGCTTGGGGTGAGGAGGAGGAATCAGACGTTAAGGTCACTCTCGGTGACTTGGGCTGAGAACGACTGAAAGCCAGGCGCATAAGCTCAGGTTACCTCGCTGACCAGTTGTCCAGCCTTCTTGGCCTGTTCCAAATTGAGACTGCCCTCAGTCAGCCACCCGACTCCCTTCATCCACGCCAGGTCGGACTTGTACTGTAGCTGCAAGAGAAACACCACCGGCTCTCAGCACAGACACAGGTGCAGACAGGACAAATTTGGTGCAAGAGTCAGGAAGCTCTCGATGCTGCATTTTTTTCTCCCAGAAGAACTGCCCCCTCCTCCCTTATGCCCCCTCCTCTCTGCTTGGGAGGTAAAGCCATTGGGCCTGCCTCGTAGTAAGAATATCCTGTCCTACTTAAGTGTTCAAACACCACAACCTTAACAGAAAGGCCATTTCTCCATCCCAATTAGAATTAATATATATTCCATGCTTACAAAAAATATATCAAAATAGATGCTACTGCCGTGTATAACTAAAAAGAACAAATATAAATTTTAAAAAATTTTTAAAAATTTGAAATTACTCTTTGGATAAATTGTAGGCTTCTTAAAAATTTAAATCCAAAAGAATTTTAATAAATTCAAAAAAATTTTAATAAATTTTTAAAGACCAGTTCTCATATATTTTGACCAAGGATCTTCTTTGTCAACCTGCTAAATTTCCAAGATTTGTTTCCCCTTTGCTTGTGCCAACACATCTTAACTTTCCCCATTGGCTCTGAGCCCCACACCTCCATCCATCACACCTGAGTCTGTGCTGTCACGATTCGGCCTCCTTCCTGTCCTCCCTGAGCCCAACATCTCCAGAAGTTCCTCCTAGTCCTCTGAGTTATGTAATAGTCTCATGCACAAGTTCAAACGGAGAGTGTGTCTAGTTGTGAGATGTGGGCACAGCTGCCAGTGAGGGAGGGCTCACCTCGCTCTGGAGCCCGTAGGCTTTCTTGGCCCACTGAGTCTTCATGTCTTCAGGCAGCACGGTGTATTCATGCAGCTTCTTCCTGTAATCCAGGTCACTGGCAAGAGCTTGGGCCTTCTTAGCATGCCTGATGTTTACCATATCCATGGGCAGGTGAAAGTGGGTCTTACTCTCTTCAAAGCCTTTCTTGTATTCAACCTGGGGTGTACCAAAGCAAGGCCCATTACCTAAAGGCTGCTCTTGCAGAAGTGATGTGAAAACACAAGATTCCCAGGCTTTCAGGAGGAATGGGTACCTTCAATGCCACCCATCTGTAAGAAAGCTCTGACCCAGAGCTTAGCTCTGTAAGCCAGTGTTGCAGGCTGCTGTGGCTCCACCTGTCTCTGGGATACCTCTCGATTATGGATCTTAACTCTTTTTACCTGGCTGCTCCAGGAGGGCACTCTATCTGCAGAAGCACAATTACAAAGCTTGGGCTTCAGAGCCAGTCAAGCCTGAGCTCAAGCCTGATCTGTCCTTTACCAGCTGGGAAACCTCTGGAAAGGTATGTCACCTCCCTGAGGGCTCACTTTCCTTGAAACGGTTGTAATAAGTATATGAAAGAGGAGCAGAAATGTGCTTAGTCCAGGGACTGTCACACAGCAAACACATGATAAATGTAAATGATGAGGATGACAGTGACGAGATGCAGTAATGATGCAATGATGATGTTGGTGATGAGGGTGGCCATGATGATGTCTGATGATGGTGGTAATGATGCTGATGATGGTGACAATGGTTGCCATGATAGTGAAGATGGTGGTCCTGAGGGTGATGATAGTGGTTCATGGTGGTAATGGTTGCCATGATGATGGTGATGGGGATCCTGGTATGATGATGATGGTGGCAATGGTGAGAATGGTGGTCTGGTGGTGATGGTGGTAATAAAGAGCTTGGTGGTAATGGTGGTGATGATGGAGGTGATGATGGTAGTGTGGTGGTAATTATGGTGGCGGTGTTGGTGGTGATCATAGTGATGGAGGTGAGAGATGAGTATGGCATGTGGTGGGGAAGGTAGGGTGCTGGAGTAGAAGGAGGTAGGCCAGCTAGCACGAGCTCTGGGGTCTAATCTCTATCCTGACTACCTATGACTTTGGGCAAGATACCATCTTTATGACCCTCAGTGGCTCCAACTGCATAAGAATACCAATTCATTCTCTGTCTAAACTAAGCGAAATTCTCCATGCCTCTTTATGCTTCATGACTGCATTTCACAGGGCTTGCTCTGTAGACACATCCAGAGGCAACCCAGAGGCCAATGCACATATTCCATTCAAATCATGACCTCTTTTTGTCAGGATGGGAGGGATACACCAGGGATGGAACTCAGGGGCACTCAACTACTGAGCCACAACCCCAGCCCCTATTTTGTATTTTATTAGAGACAGGGTCTCACTGAGTTGCTTAGTGCCTTGCTCAGGCTGGCTTTCAACTCACGATCCTCCTGTCACAGCCTCCTGAACGACTGGGATTACAGGCGTGTGCCATGTGCCCAGCTAAGTCATGACCTCTTAAGGGCTTTGTCGGGTAATTATGTCCACCTGTACCTTCAGAGCTGCATAAGCTGGCTTTGCAGCTTTGAGCAGTGGTCATAGAGCAGGAACTCAAAGGGCTTGTGGGCCCTTTCTGCCTGCTCAGTGTTGGCAGGGAAGACTCTATTAGGAACTAGGTGTGTCCCTTCTAGCCACACTCTCCTTCCCCAAAGGATCCCCCCAACTTGCCCTTTGGTAAGTGATATTTATCATGGTTAATCTCCAGCCACAAGAAGTATCATTCTTATTGGTTGGAGCCTGGGATGTCCTGGTTGTTTGGTAAACACTTTGAATACCATGTATGTTGTGATTGCAGGATTCTTCCAGAACATCACCACAATGAGTGAGATGCTTACTGCCTAGCTCCCTGCTAGATTTGAACATGGTTTCCCATCACCAAAACACATTTGGAGGCTTAATCCCTCAATGAGGCAGTGGGGAAGTGGGGCTTGGTGGTAGGTGTTTGGGTCATGTGGAGGGGAGCCACATGAGAAGACACTGTGTCTCAGTAGGGAGCTGGTTCTCCCCCTCATGGGACCGGACTAGTCATCACAAGAATGGGCTACTACATTGTGATATAAACATCAGAGATTATTATATAGACTAGCATGCTGTATTCTGCAATTCATATTTTATATTAATATTTATAAAATATGTACTGATACTTATAACTATGCTTATCTGATTAATAGATTTTTGAGCACTTAAAAAAAAACAATGTGCTATGAAGAGCAAGGCCACACTTGTGTTCTCCCTGTTGCAGGTACTCTCTTGCCTGCCCACTTTTCCCACCTCGGTGATGCTACATGAGGCCTTCACCAAATGCAGTCTTGAATAAACCACCTCCTTCTCTATAAATTTCCAGTCTCACATATTCTATTATAGCAAAAAAAAAAAAAAAAAAAATAGACTAAGCCACTTTCCCAGCAGAACTAAGCTCCATGAGGGAGAAACTCATTAGGAGCTCCCAGTGTCTCATAAGTGTTTTGCCCATAGTAACTGCTTGGTAAACCTGTGTGGATTAAATAACTGTGGCCAAACACCTCTGTACCTTGATCGGCAGAGGCTGTCACGGTTAGGCTACACTCTTCCTCTACTTTAAAAGAAGAGCATGCTCACTAAAATAAAGAAAGCGAGCAAACCTCTTACACAAGTCAGGAAAGAAAAGAGTTGCAGGCAGAAATCAATAATAAGAAGAAATCAAAAATACGGTTTGCTGGTGCTATCCTAAATGACCAGGTGAAGTTGCCAGGAAAAACTTTGAAAGTAACATAACTTTAGGTAAAGGGCGGGGGGGGGGGGGGTGGAAAGGGAATCTACCTCGCTGCTCATCTTGGCCACCTGCAGGGAGTGCAGAAGCTTCGAGTCGGTTGTTCCCATGGCTTTGCCTTTTGTTTTCTCATATTCTTCTTTGTATTTAATCTTGAGAGAAAAAAGAAAGACGACTGTGAGTGAGAGAGAAACCTTGCCATCCAAGGGGCTCGGTTAACAAATGCAAGGAGAACTATTCTGAGAAAACACCTCCCCGTCTTCCGTGGATCCAGAAGAAGATTAAAGTACTGCGATGTTTACAATGTTAACAGTCATTATTTTTTTTTCAGCAGGACCACTGACACGTTATTGGAACCATTCCTTATCCATTTCTGAGTTAATGAGAGAAAACCTACATTGCTAGCAAGCTCCCCCGAGGCTTTGGCGGCCAACAGAGACATGGCATCCAGCTTCATCTCAAATCCTTTCCCCTTTGTCTTCTCCCAGCCTTCTTTGTACTTAACCTAACAAACAAAAACACAGGTGAGCAGGAATTGCTACCTACAGTCCTCCCAAAAGTTGAAGACAATTTTTCTTTAAGGAAAGAAGGTTTCTTTAACAACTTACAGGCCAGAGTCCTTGGGTGCTATTATAAAAATAGTAATAATAACTATTAACACAGTTCATTGATTCCTTAGCTAGAGGGCCACATGGACAGTTCAGGAGAAAGCTCTATTATTTCTTGGTCATGTGACTACGGGTAATTACATCTTTGGTCTTTGATTTTACCATTTACAAAAAAAAAGAATACCATCTCCTCTTTCTCAGAGGTGCTGTGAGAATGACTTAGATATGGTATACGGTAACAAATGCTGACCTGGCCAAGTGCCCTTGACATAGAAGGTATTGATATTGCCATGGTAACAGCAGCTATGGTTTGCTGGTGCTGACCTAAATGCATTAACTCACTAATTGCAAATCTTCTCATTAGGCCTTCGAGGCTCAGAGAAATTAAAGAACTCACCTAGGGTCACCCGGGTAAAAACTGGCTGTACCTACATCTAAAACCCAGGTCTACCAAATCTCAAAGCCCATGCCAACAACTGTGTCCCTACAACAGCTCCTGAGGGTTATGCTGACTCTGTATCCTATCATGTCACATCATACCAGCTGCTCCAGTATAGAACTGGTTTTCAAAAAAACATTAGTTCTGGGGTTATTTTCTCCTGTCCCACAAATCCAATCTGGAAGGAGAAGCCTAATCACAGCCCACCAGTGACTCTGCAAGACTCTAGCAATTAAGATTATTCTTGAAGTCTGTGTTTTGTTCACACAGCAAGTCACCAGTCAGAAGTCACCAGGGTGATGGCGATGATGGTGCTGATGATGGTTGTACAGTGTTCTCACAGGCCATACATGTGCTCGGGTAATGAGAATTGAGTTGCTCTGACCAATTCGTCCCTAGTGAATGGATGCCACAAGATGGCAAAGTTCAAAATTAAAATGCAATGGATGCCTTTGACGAACCTCTCTTAGGAATAGAAGGTTCCCTGCTATTGGACCATGCCGGATCCTTCACATTCACATCCACCCACATCCCCCTCTGTGTCCTCCCCATTGTCTGCTCACCTCACTGAAGAGTTCAGCGTTAGTTCTGGCCTTCACCAGCTGAGGCACATCCTGCGGCAGTGTGTAATTCAACTTGTTTTTCTCATAGTCAGCGCGGTAATTCACCTGAGGGATTGAAAACACGGCTGCAGGTTTTTTGTATGGGCAAAAGGAGAACTTTGGGGGAGACACTCTTTCCCACTTTCCCCTGAGATCCATCACTAGGAAAGAATTTCTGGAAAAGGCATTTTACAAAGAAGCTTGTAATCTGGGGAGTGTTTCTAATTAATAGATAGAAGGGGCCGATTGAAAACATAAACAACTCAAAGGCACACTCAAAATTGTGTGTTTAAAAAAGAGACCCCTGCGACAACTTCACCAACTCCCTTTACAAGCCCTTGAAGGTATGAAACTAATGTTTGTAACTTGCTGTGGTGCTGAACATTTTGCCGTATGTAGGGTAGATCCTCAGTAAGAAATTACCAAATGCTCATCTGAAGAAAGAGCCATCTTAAAACACACAGACACACACACACACACAAGCTAGCCAGGTGTGTGATTCCTTAAGGAAGGACACAGCATCATTTAAGATGTAGTCTTGAACAAAAACTAACTCTGAACTTTGGACACTGGTGACATTAAGGATTATTGTTAGGACGTCTTGTTTGTTGTTTTGGTGTGATGTATTAAAATGGTATAAACATGTTTAAACTTTTTCATCTTTTAAAGATTCACATATGTAAAATATTTATGATCAAGTTATTTTCTTCAAAATAATAGGGGGGTGTGTGGGTCTATAGATGAAGCAGGATGTGGCATGAGTGGGTACTTGCTGAATCTGAGGATCAGGTACATGAGGATTCATTATGTTATTCTCTTTTGAATGCATTTGAAATTTTCCATAATAAAAATTTTTTGAGGGGGATCATTTCATGGCCATAAGAAGACATGATGCTGTTATTAAAAGTCAAATCTTTGGGAGTTAGATGTTCAGAGGCCTCACAGTGATCACAAGACCCCCACATCCAGCCGGGCTGGGGCAGGTGACTTACGTGGCTCAGTTGCTGGGCATTGATTTTGGCCTGAACAATCTGCGGAGTATTAGTCACAGAGCTGTACTTCAGCTTGTCGATGCTTTGCCTGTAGTTGACCTAGATAAAAACGGGCACAGAGAGATGTCACTTGGTTTTTTTCTTTTTCTTCTCTAAGATTTGCTTAAGTCCCTTCCCCAACCCAACCAATTGGTGATTCTCAAATTATTAGAAAAAGAACCAAAGATTTCAACTGGATGCCAACAGACATCCTGAGCCAACAGACAGGAAAATAGCACACTCAAAAGAGAGGCCCACTCACTGGCCAGTGGACACAGGAAGAGCTGCTTGTCCACGTTATGAACCTGAGATATGCACACTAAAATCACAACAGGATATACTTCCACACCCACCTGAAGAGAGAAAATTAAAATTGCTGAGAATATCAAGTGTTGGCAAGGACGTGGTGCTACAGAAACCCCCATAATGCCACAGACAGACGTGCAGATTGGCACAATAGCTTTGGAAAATACACATTTCCATGTCCCGATAATGTGATTCCTGGGTTTATTCTCAAGGAAGATCTGCACACGGTCACTTTATAAAAATTCAAGGTGAATGTCTGCACTTGCTATGCTTTTCTGTATGTCTTATTCCTCACAAAAAAGGGATGTTTAAAAGGAAAATGAAAGAGAGAAAACAAGTCCACCCACGCCCATACACGTCTCTGAGTGGGAAGCAAAGGAGCATCAGTGGCCCCTCACAGGGACAGCCTAGGGTGACTGCAGCTGTGCACCAACCCCTGCCTGGCCCTCACTTCCACTTGGCGAGAGTTCCCAAGAAAACTGCTCTTAGCTCAGCACTTCAATGGAAGCAGTGAGTTCAGAAGGGGAGGAGGCAGGATTTCCAGCACCAGGCTTCCCATTTCAAGATATTTTGGACTAGTGAATTTTCTCTTTTGAGAATGCAAATTGCTTTTTAGAGAGTGAAAGGTTATTAGCTATTTGCACATGAAACCGTATTCATCCAATCATGTCTTCCTCCAAACACACCTGACCAAGATGCACCTCCCAGGCAAAGGGAACTGGAGCCGGGGAGTAAAGGCCCAGGTGTGCAGCTTAAAGCAGGTGGGCAGGGGATGTGCTGAGCTGAGCGGAGCAGGAGGCCCCCAAACCTATTTAGCAGGAAGGAGATCTGGGGTGAAAGAAATGAGGGTAGGTTTGGATGGTTAAGGACTCTTTTGAGTAATTGCACACGCAGGCTAGCTGGAAATCCAGGTAAAAGAAGAAGTCAACTCATCCCTAATCCTGCCCTTCTTCCCTTACACCTTCCTGGTCCCTCCCACCCGTCCACTTGTTCATTCATTCATTCCTTCAACTGTCACAGATGCCTGTGCAGAGTGAGCACGTAGGTATTGCTGATGGGTCCTTGCTTCCAGGACCCTAAATGACACAGTCCCACGAGACACTTGAGCCTATCTGCCCATAGGCTCCAGGTCAGGGCCCTGAGCCTGCTAGGCCCTGGCTTGGCTTGTGGGGCTGATCACCACCAAACTTCCCCCAGGCACATTGCACATCTCTGGTGTATTCCCTGAAGCCCCCAACCCCACCCAGGATCCCACAGTAGATGGCAGCTGCTGTGGGGCTGCATCCTGCCTAGGAACCCCACACCCCTTACTGTGTCCCCACTGTCTACTGCCATCTCTGCTTGGACCTGCAGTCATGGCCACCCGTCTGCTCTCGGCAGCTGGCTCTGCCCTTCACAGGGGCCCCAGCCCATCTCCTGTCTATCTACACTACAGCCTTATGTCTTTGTCCTTTTGTCCACCTGTTGCTATCTCTGGGTGCTGCCTCCCTGAGATGGTAGCCCATGTCGGGGAGTTGCAGCCTGAAGGCCACCAATGTCTGTGGGACATTCCAATTATTCCAAAGAAGCCAGAAATACATATTATCATGAAAAATCCTGCAGTTTTAAATGCTGGAAAACAATTTAATATTTTTAAAATTCAGGGATGCAAATGAAATAGACCTAATGGCCACTTTGGGTCTGCTGGCTGCTGCTCGTATGCCACTGTCTTCCCTGGTCTGTACTCCCTTCATTCTTGTCTGTCATGACCAACACCAGGACACTCACTGTGTCCCCGGCAGTGCTCCAAGTCTCTCACACATAACTTATTTAATTCTCCCAACCACCCTAACAGTAGGCACTACTATCATCCCTACCTTATAATGTGCAAACTAAGGCACAGAGACCTCAGGTGACTTGCTCAAGGCCACACTTACTAATGTCAGAGCTTGGATTTGAATCCCAGGCATGGCTCTTAATCTATGCACTAGAAACCTGGTTTGCCAAAGCTAGTGTGCTTGGACTGTTCACCTGGTATATGGATGAGAGGTTCCCCATAGCCAGAGCTAGTATTGCTTTAGACAGGGAAATGTGTTCCATGTAAAAACGGATGACTTACAAGTTAACCTCTAGAACAGGATCTAGGAAAAATACACTGGGCCTCAGAGTGTTTTTTTGTTGGATTTGGAGTCAAGGATAGCACCTCTTTATACTTTTTATTCCATGATTCAAGGAGAAAAGTTTGTCTGTGTCCTGAGTGCATAGGAAAAACTAGGAAATACAAAGTCATTTCAAAGTCAACTATTAATGAGATTACAGTACTGTGACTTCCTAATGCATTAATTCAGAGTGAAAACTTATCAACTCATAATGGAGTCTATTAGAATTCAGAATTATGCATGATAAAATGTCATGAAAACTATATTTTTTAAATGGCATCTTCCTTCCCGATAATTCTGCATTAAGTATGTCACAGAGTACAATTACTTTTCTCTGCAGGACATAATTAACAGTCTCCATGATTAATCACATCTTTGCAACATCACAAATGCCTGGCCATTGCTCCAATCTACATTCTGAAGGGTTTCTTCGCTAAATATAGAGTCTCATTTTAATTCTATTAGTGTTTATAAAATCCATCTAAAGGGAATGCTCTCTAATTAAGGGCCCATGCATTTCATAGTTATTTCACCACTTTTAATGCTATCAGACAGAGAGGACACAAATGCTCTTGCAAATGGATTTCCCCCAAACTTCCTGAACACTAAAGTCCCCACGTTAGGGACAATGAACTCAAATTCACACCAGAGCCAGGAAGGAAAGGTCAAAGAGATTAAGTCACACTCCGGGAACAGCCACCATTCAGTCCCAGACAACTGCCACCATGCAGAAAGTGGGACTTCTTTTCCCAGGCTTTTCAGACTTTTCAAGAAAAGATGAAAATATGAATTCCCCTAGTCACAACTTCAATTTTTTTTAAATATGTGTAGCCAAAAACCAAACCAAACAAAAAATACTCCTGAAGCCTGCTTGTGGCTCATGCCCTGCCAGTTTAGTACCTATCTCTAAAAGCAACACCCCTCATTCAGTCTAAGTTAATTCTTGTATCAGATGTCCCAAGTGGGCTAGCTATATTTCAGGTGTACAGTTAGATCCAGAGTCTTCTATGGAAAAATGTAGTCTCAGGTCATGTTATAATGGGATAACAAAATCGTAGGCTTTGATCTTGTTTTGTTTGTGCTATTTATTAGGCATGATTTCTAGAACTCTGCTGCACAAGCACACACTGGAGGTGTTTAATGAAGTACTCTTAATTGGCAAGTGTCTCAGGTAATATTTGCAGGTAAAAGAGAAAGTAACTTTGGTGATGGCCAATTTTAACTTTGGCTTCATTGAGGTGAGATGAGTAAGTCAACCCAATGACACTTCTGGGGAAAAAGAGGCTGACATTCCTCTGCTTCCCATCTCCTTTCATCCGATAGACTATCCTTTGCTATGCGTGTGCTCTGATGTCCAGAACACTGCGTTAGACCCAACCACATCCTACTGCTCCAACTGTCAGCAAGAGAGAGAGCAGGGTGAAGCCTTATGCACCAGTGGGGAAACCCGAGTCAAATACTGGAGTCATGATGATCCCAAAGGAACTGAAGGAAAGTAACGCTGGGCATTCAATAAATATATGCAGAACTGTGTATTAAATTGTTGATCAGAGACTACCTTCACTGACCAAGAACGATGGTAGCCACTCACTTACAGACCACCTTAAGAACGTTTTAAGATAGCAAATGACTTTTATCTTTTTCTTTGTACTTTTCTGTGTTTTCAGAATTTTTCATTTTAAACATGTAGCAAAATTCTTATGATCAGAAAACAATAAACTGAATTGTACTAGTTTGTTTGGGGCAAGCCAAACTTTTAAAATATTCAATGCTGTAACAGTTAGGGAGAGATAGATAGATATAGCTATCTACATATACATACACACACCCAGATATATATACTTTCCAAAATGCTCCTGAGAAAAAGTTCAGTCAACGTTATCACTTACTTTCAACTTATATCCATCTGCTCATTTTATTTGACTTCCTTCAGTCCTTAACATACTATACTCCAAAGCTTAAAACAAAAATCATCATTGCTAAGAAATAACGATCCTAAATGCCCCCACAGTTCATTTCTAAGAGAAGAAAATGAACTTCAGGGTATCTTCAAGACCAACAGAGTTGGCCCCACTTTACACTGAAAACCTGAGTTTTCAGCCATGCATGGGTGGACTTCCCAGGGGCAAGAGCCCCCTTTCTCAAGTCCCTTCAATCTCCGCCAGCGAGCGGTCTATCTAGTTTCTGTCCCTCTTCCTTCCTAAGAATCGTCCCAAAGGGAGGAAGTGGCAAGTAATAAATAAAAGTGCCATTAGAAGAGGACTTACATCTTTCAAGGGAACCAGTTTCATTGTTGTTTGATAGGCAGGAGTAAGGGTGGCTGGATAGTTGTAGTCCACAATATCGTGTTTATAATCAGCCTTGTAGGCAACCTGAAATCCAAAGAACAAGAAAAAAGAAATCAGTCCCTGTTTTCTTTTGACCTCATTTGAATGTTATAAGAAATACTTTTAAAATAGCCAGAAACAAAATTAATTCAGTTGCATCACCTCCAAGGAAAATTAAGTTATGTTCACACGTTTGCCTTTAATTAATTTGAATTCTTCTTCATTAATCAAACATTAGTTAACTTCCATCTGTAGTGTATTTATCTTTCTTTTTAATGATGAGACTCCTTGTCATTTTTAACAAGAGCACGTGCTCATGGGTAAACCATGAAGGTACTTCTTAGCTCACCCCCAGAAAAGGAATAAAAAGTTGAGTCTTCAGAGTATTTATTTATTTTTTTTTCTTTAAGGTCAAATTGGACATTCTCAAGCAGAGAAAACTGACATCTGCATAATGAAAGCAGTTTCTTTTCAGTGTCCTTGACCTCCAAGGTTTACAACCTCGAATTTGAAACTCTGTGAATTGGATTGATAAAGCCAAAGAGAGATTAATAATTACATGCTACAAGGAAAACAAGAACCTGTTCTATTCTGTGATCCCATTACCTTGCCCACTGCCTAGCCATAGTAGGTCTTCAATGAACATGAAGACTGGATAAGCAAATAGACAAACTCACCAACCACCTAACAAACTCCAAATAAATCACAAAAACCTTGGAATCCTGGGAGGGGGGGGTTTCAAATATGAGTCATGCTTATCCATTTCTCTTTATCACTCAGAAACCGAAAGTTCTTTTCATACTGGATCAATTATAATAGATCTAAGTACTCTTCAAATCAGAGAAAGCTAAAAAAAAAAAATACACTTTGAGTCTTTAAAAAATTTAAGGGATGATACATATATTTGGTTGTGTTGGTTAACATTTAGAAATTCTTATGGGTCTGTCTTTACCCAGGAGAACGTAAGTATTTTAGAGAAGATAAAAAACAATTAGCTGAGTTTGTGATGCCCCACGCCTCTCCACCCCTGGAGGCCCTTGCACAAGCACTCACATTGCTGGCCAGACTGCCAACTTTCAGAGCATGAAGTGTGCGTCTGTCCATGCCAACTCCTTCATAGTGGCCTCTCATGTGGTTCTGGTAGTTTTCTTTATATTTATTCTACGTAGAAACACAAAACTTTTAGCAAAAGCTTCCCTACTTGTTGAAGACGAACTACTTGTCTTAATGCACAGAATCCAAACTATAAATGATTAAATAGAACCTATTTAAGAAGTCAGTACACCAGTGAATAAAAAATAAAGCAAACTTCTTTTCTAACCACTTAAATTTCAAGCGAGCACAAGAAGTTGGGTCAAGACAGCAGATAAGCACTCGGGAGCATGGGTCTGACGGGCACTGGTAGCACAAAGCAGATTTGACTTACTTGTTTATTTTTATATTTTTTGTTTTAAATTTACCTTTTCCAATGTGAAAACTTACCATGAGAATGTGGAGCTCATTACTGGATAAGCTCTGATTGTATAGATGCTGTGGATACAGTCCCAGGCTGGGGACTAGTACAAGCCACTGCATGAAATAACTTCTACTTCCACATATAGTCAGTCCTCTGCCTCCATGGAATTTAGAACCATGTTTCAATCAATCATAGAATGAAAATATTCATTTAAAAAATTGCATCTGTGTTATACACATACAGACTTTATTGTCACAGTTTCTTAAACAATATGTTATAACAACTATTGACATGGCACTTATATTAGGTAGTATAAGCAATCTAAAAATGATGCACAGTATGTGTGAGGATGTACACAGGTTATATGCAATTACTAAGCCATTTCATATAAGGGACCTCAGCATCTGAGGATTTTGGTACCCAACAAGGGGGTTCTCAAACCAATGTCCCATGGATGCAGAGGAATGACTGTATATGAAGAAGACCAGACCTTTGCCAAATTCTGTGACATAAAAGATGGTCACTGCAACCATGTGAAAGAATGATGCTATGTCTCAAATAACATCAAGTAAAGAGAAGATCAAAATGGAATGATGCGAAGTCATAAATAGGAAAATCTGGGTAGCTTCATGACGTTTCATTAAAATCACCCACCCTGAGAGGTCATTGAGTCTCCAGGCCCACGGTGCATTTAAGTAGAATACTATTGCTATATATTAGACACAATTCTATTTATCTCAGTTAACCTTTGCCAGCCACTCTATGAAGAAGAAGGATTTATTATCATCCCCATTTGAATGATTGGCAAAGTAGCTCAGAGAGCTTAACTGACTTGCCCTCTTGGGTAACTATATGGCACCAAGTATGTTAGTTCCAAAACTGGTCCTCTTAACTAGAACCTTCATACAAAATAAATTTCTTACTGAGCCTTACAAGGTCACTTGTGATTGCGAATTCTACTATTAATATAGCTAAGCAGAAGTAAAATCGTACACTCTAGAACAGGTTCTTGATATCCTCAAGTCTACATCGCCAGGCTTTCTCTGAAAATGTCCAGATTCACAAATGCCACTCCAGCATGTATCTGCTCATCTTTGAGGTAGGGAGAGAATGTCTGGCTCCCAGATGACCGTGAGAGTTAAGTGAGATCATGCATTCACTCAGAAGCACAAAGTCCCATGCTCAGCCAGGCTCCCTCACCAGCATTTGTCATTAGGAGCAGACACTGGGCTGTGTGCAAGGGATTCAGAAAGACAGAGAGGACAGGTCCCGCCCTGAGGACTCAAAGTCAAGTGTGGCAAGGGAGAGGAAGGATGTGACAGAATTCGACATCGCCCAATCCCAGCAGGCAACCTTAACCAAAACTCACAGGTACTCATGCCTGGGAGCCCCTGCTTCTCCAAGACACAGGGACACATGCAAATGCTTAGGCATCAGCAACTCACATCGCTGGTGAATTTTGAGATCTTGCTCACGTTCCTGAACTGAGGCGTTTCACAGTAGTTGATACTGTGACCTTTACTACTTTCCAGATCCTTCTTATATTCCACCTTGGGAACCAAAACACCAGATGCACAATAGAACCAAACCCCATGTCCCTCTTGAAAACATTTCCAGAACTTCATTGAGGTGGTTTTAGAAAACTTTCAACCCCATATTTTAAAATACAAGGCATAGGATGCTATAAGTATGTGTTTTCCTTAGTACAAAACAAATAATAAAGTAATAATCAATTTCATTCTGCAAAGTAAAAATATATGGTCCTTTTCAAGAACAAATACTATAAAAACATACAGCTGAAATGAATAAAAATGGAAAAACTGGGGTTGGGGGTGACGGACGCTCAGTGGTAAAGCAATTGCTGAACACACACAAACCCCTTGGTTTGACCCCCAGCACCACAAAACAATTTTTAAAAAAAAACAATAGCAAACTGATTTTAGAAATCAGGTGGAGTCTTAGAGGGAACAGTGTAGGAGAGATTATGAGGAGTCACGGCCACCTGTAGAAATTCTTCCTACTACACACTCAGGGTATATGCACCTCTCTATATATACATCACTAAAATTTTACCCCAAAAGGCACTTTATTAAAGAATATAACAAGGGAGATCACCCTGATGAAGAGTGTCTTCAATTTAAAGCAGCCTGGCTATTTGAGCTCCCCTGGGTGCCTGGAAGAAGCCATGAGGCTGTAGTTATTAAATTAAACTCTGAGTCGCCCTGAGTAATTGCAGAACGCGGCTGAGGACGATCACTATTTATAGAGGCAGAGCTGGCTGGTCTTACTGGAGAAACATAAGGCAAAAAAGAAATCAAAGGTTCACTTGTGGCTTCTTACCAAAGGAAGTACAACTTCATTTGTTATAGTATTTTATAAAACTATATAGTGGGGATATGTCCTTTAAAATATGCAAAATGCATTATAATGTTCACACTATGATTTTAAGATAAAATATATAAAACTGTATATATAGTTGAATCCTAACTGTAGATATATGTCTTTATATTCATATATTCAGTTGTTTATATATGTGCATAGGAAAAGGCCAAACATGTTAACTGTGCTATTCCAGGGTGGCAGAGCTGAACCACCAGGGGTCTCACTCCACCTTAGTCCCTGAGAGTCTCTATGAATCAGAACCAGACACTTATCTTTTACAGGCCCATGACAAAGTGATGGCCTAATCTAGAGCTAACAAAATGAGCAGACAGTACATATTTTAGGCTTTGCCACCATGTGGCCTCTACACCAAGAGCCTAGGTAGCCCGAGAGCAGCCACAGACAATATGTAAGTGAATACTATGTGGCTGTGTTCCAACAAAACGTCACTTCTTAAAACAGACTGCGAGCTGGATTGGACGCTGAGGTTGTAGTACGTCAATGGTCTTGCGCATCAGAATCAGCTGGAACATTTGTTTAGATGCAGATGCCAAGGCCTCCACACCCATCTACTACTTCCAAGCATGATGAGACTCAGGACTGACACTTTCCCAAGTTGTCCCAAGTTGCAGAACCATGGGTTAACAAACAGTTTGGGGGAAAGGAACAGCCTTTAGAGGTTAGAGAAGAATCTCTGTCTCTGAGGTGCAGATGACTCGTTAAGTGAATCTTTTAGTAGCCATCACTCTCCGTGTTGCCGGAGGTTGCCCATTTGGGTCCAGAGAAGAGATTGGGGTAAGAGGAGCTGTTGGACAGACAGGAGGGTGCAGAGAGGACACGGTGGGGTGTTTCCTTGCCAAGTTGTCCTAACAATCCCCCAAAGCTTAAGCACAGGGTAGACCCACACCACGCACCCTCGGGCAGCTAGCTCCACCTGGGAGGTAGGAAGTCACAGCCTCTCCAACTCTGGCTACAATAATGGGAGAAGGAGGGAAGTCAAACACTCTCTCTGACCTTGGATTTCCACTCTATAATGACATCATACTGTTTTCAAAGTCCTGCACTCTTTCTGTCAACCAGAAATCTGCTGCCTGGCACTTTTGACTATCTACAGCCTGGTGAGGACTTGGGAAGACATGTTTGAGCCACCAAAGAAAAATTTAATTTGCTTGACTCCTGGTGTTGTTGTTAATCGTGTTTTACTACATACTCTTCAGACACTGGAAACCCACAGATTGTATGTGTGGTGTCACTCTCTTAACGGCCCTTTTTATTACAGGGTCACCCCTTTACTGCCTAGGAGGCAAAGGGGTGACAGCGCGGGAGTGTAACCCCCCATACCCACCTCGCTCACAAGCTTGTTCACACTCTGGGCCCGTTTGAGAACCAGGTTGTCTTGGGCTGGAAGAGAATGATAATGCGCGGCGCCCCTCATCTTGTGCAGGTCCTGCCTGTATTTTATCTGAAAGAAACACACGAAGAAGATCTATAGTTGCCATTTCCATTCTCTGTGAGAAACATATCTCCAAAATAACCCCAGATTTAATGTCAACATTTACTGAATAGAATTTTCTAAAGGCAAAGAATTCATGTGGACTTCTTCTTCCATTACATCTACAAACTACTTGGTCCTTCTTGAACTAAAATGATACTGGACCTTTTCACACTTCTTACGCATTACACTCTAATTCTGCATGAGAAAAAAAAAAATGTAGTTCTAAAACGATCATGTCATTCCAGCCCAATTCAAACCCAGGTTCCAGTACCCTAACTCTAGCCTGGTAATGAGGCCATGTCTTGTACTTTCTTTCTTAGGCCAAAGTGGCGCCGTTCTGGCAAGTGGATAATTGACCCTTAGCAGAGTCAAGGTGAAGGGAAAAGGATCTTTTGAATGTGAGGTCCCTGATTAGAGGTCAAGTTCAAGTCAGACTGTTAAGGTCTGCAGTGAAGTTTCACTTTACCAAGTTTAATTATAGCCTATCTTTCAAGGACTGCTTGTTGGCTAACATTCTGCAAATAAAAAACGACCTTATCATTGGGTTACGCCCAGTCTGATAATCATATAACCTATTTTAATCAGCTCTTCCGTTAAAATGCTCAACTTCTAAATGGGTTTTGGTTGAGACTCTTAATCCCTGCTTATCTGGCTGGACCAGCATTTGTACTTGCTTCAAAAGACCTAAAGTGAGTTGTGCTGTTTGTCCATATCAATCTGCTTGCAAAGCTGATAAATGTAAACAAAGACTTAACAGAAAAAAGAAGACATCAGAAAATGTGGATGGGAGTCGAGGGCTAGGCGAACATTCCCCTGTGGCTCAGCTCTAAGAAATGTGCCTGTGTGTAGGTTTCAGTCAGCACAGCTTTCAAAGTCTCATTGCTCCTCTATCTCTGGGGTGCCGCCAGTTGACCCTGCTTGATGGTACTTACATCACTAGCAAGTTCGTTGGCCTTCTTGGCATTCTGATAAGCTGGGGTGATCATGGCTGGGAAGCTGCCCTTTCCCCTGGGCTCATCATACTCCTCCAAGTCACCCTGCTGAGATAATCAAAACTTTGGGTGGTGATCAGAAATGATTGGTCCCAGAGCCTGTTCCCACAGAGGTCCATCCACACCGGCATTCCAGTGACCACCACAGGTGCTGTACCATGTGGTGATCAGGACACCAGACCCTGGAGTCAGGCCTGCTCACGGTGCACAGTACACAGCAGTAAATAAATGGTAACTATTATCATGATCATTATCTTTAGTTCCACAAGATGAATCAAGATACTCCCAGAATCCCAGTGCCATGGTGCTAGGGACTGTTCATGTCTTCCTGATAGCAGGGAAGTCCTTTGTTTCCCCTGGTCTCGAACATTATCTTACTTAGGTACCATGGCAGATCTGTGCACAGAGATGCTTTGACACCCCCTATACTGTCTCCCTCTGTGATGTGTGTCATGAAACCAGAAATGGGGTCTTTTGCCATTTTTGCAATTTGTGAGGGAAAAAGTCACATCAGTTATCTGAAACGGGAGTAACTGAGCACTGAAGACAGAGGGTGGTAACCTTCGTCTTAACTTTTCCCTTCCTCTTCCCCACGCCACCCGTCCGCTCCCACAGAAACCTTCTCTTTCATGAAGCTCCCATCAAGTGACTGGGGCCACCCTTCCCTGGCAGCCAGAGGCACTGCAAGACCAGCTCAGATGCAACTTTCTCTTGCGTGTCCCCGATCCTCCCTCATCCCAGACCCACCCCGGGCAGAACCAGCTGTGCCCTCCTCTGCATTCTTGCTGCTCCATGCCCATAACTGTGTCCCCCAGCTCATGACTCCATCTTCCTGGGCCTCATCCGGGGCAGGACCCACCCTCCTCCAGCACCAGGACTGGACTGTGGCCCACACATTTTCTTAAGTAAAAGAATTGGGTCAAATTAAAATGTCTAGGCTTCCTTTTGTCCAGTCATGAAAACTGTTTAGCCTGAGTGCTCCTTTTTGCTTGACTGCCAGAATATTCTGGGCCAAATATAATAAGCAAAAACAAAAAACTCTTAAATTCTTTAGCAATCTGCTTTATGGGGTTTTTCCCCATCCTGGTCTACAGTTTTGTGCTTGTGGTTTTGTGTGTGTGTGTGTGTGTGTGTGTGTGTGTGAGAGAGAGAGAGAGAGACAGAGACAGAGCCAGAGACAGAGACAGACAGACAGAGAGAATCTTTTTGTAAGATACCTGATCCTATTGGGGAGTTGATTGGTTACAAATGATAAATCTAATACACAGTCTAGTCATTTTAATGAGTCTAATTAGATGTTTAAAAGAAGCATGAATTGCTTGGCATTTCAGGCATTACAGATATTTATAGCTATCTGTCTGCCTCTCTCACTCCATCCTACCCATGCCCTGGCGAGTCATGCTAAATCACACAGTGAAATGCCACACCAGACTGAGTCCCCTCAGCAGCTGCTAACGGTGCAATCCAACGACACCCACTTTGATTCTTGTATTTGTTATTATCAAGACTGGAAACTTCCAAGTGTCCTAAAAATCAAGAACCAACTATGATCTCAGAAATTATATTTCATCCATGTGCATGGGCGTGCCTCGATGCTCACACTAAACATGTGTTAGAGCTAGTGGTGGAAGGACTGTCAAAATACAGAATAAAATATTTTGACGGCTACAGAAGCCAGATATTTCTTAATAACACTCATTTTTAAAAGTTGTCTCAAGCCTTCTAGACAACATTTAACATATGAAACCAGTAGAACCCATTGTTGTTGAATATAAAGCACCAAGAGAGCATGTAATCAACCTGTAGAATTTAATAAAATCGTCTTTTGAATTCAAAACCAAGCCTTCTTTTCCTCAGGACAACATTTGCAAAGGGGTCACTGCCCATGTCCACACATATCCTAAGACACATGAGTATGTGGCCACAACTGGTGACTTGTTTTTCTAAAGAGAAATAAATTCTTTTGTCATTTAATTTTATAGGTCCTGTATGAGGTAGAGTCAACTAATTCGTTGCCAAATAAATCAAACTATGCAGCTAAGGAAGACATTCATTTACTCAAACTCATTGAATGTCATGATGAACTAAACATAACCTGTCTTAATCTTTGGGTCTGTTCTTCAATAAATAGATGAGAATGGCTTATTCTTGGCTGAGCCACCATATTGATAGAGCTTCTTAAAGAAAACAGTGCTTGAAATCTGACTTCAAATCGAAACCTGTGTAATTATTTGTCTGCTACTTCCTGGCTTGGAAAATCCCCCATCCACACACAGGGCAAAGATAATCCACAGCCCGTCCCCTGGTTAAAGGGACATAGGCTATGTCACAGCTAGTAGGGGCCAAACTGAGAACTGGCCAGGGGCAGGCCAGTCTCCCAGGAAGTCATTTAGCTCATACCTGGCCCTCGGCTCCAAAGGCTGGACCCGCCATTCCTCTCATTTCTCTTTGATATTGTTGATGGTATCTCACCTGTTTGAAGGGAAAGGACAAACTAATTGAATTGAGCCTCCCATGCACAGGAGCCAGAGGGGGAAAAAAATGAGTGTTTTATGGAATGTTCTTTTTCTGCTTGAGTCTAGGGAATATGTCTTAGACATAGAAGTACCAGGTCATTGGCATGGCAAAAATGACTGAAAACTACAAGGGAAAGCTACTTCTTGGCTCCGGGATGCATGCGAGAGTAGACAGGAAGTTGGACTCCCCAGGCCCAGGTTAGCTGTCTGCTTCCTCCTTAACATGACAGCATTGCCACGGCCACTTACATCACTCGCCAGCTCGTTGGCCCTTTTGGCTATCTGATAAGCAGGCGTGATCATAGCAGGAAAACTGCCCTTCCCTCTCTGCTGTTCATAGTCCTCTGTGTATCTCACCTGGGAAAACAAGAAAAAGAAAAGACTGACTCACACGCCACAATCCCACTGTCTACCTGATGCTCTCAGGGAGGTGCCTGGCTGAGGGCTCCTGTGAAGGACACTTTGCCCATCCCCTGTCACAGCCCCTATGGCACATCACTAGCTTATGGCTTGATGGCATGTGCATTTCATTTACCTATCATTCCCAGCACTCAGCAAAGCATCTGGGGCATGGAGACGCTCAGCGTGGAGCTCAGTGTCTAATTGTGTTGCACCTGCTGTGGACCAGGTGCTGGGGCTGGGCTGAGCAAGGTCTCCAACCCTTGACCAAGAAAGCCCCTCAATCCAAGATCCACGACAAGGCAAGTGGAAATTGCTTATAAGGGGAAGCTGGATTTGTGCTTCAACCTCCCATTCAGAACAACACTGCATTCTTGGGTCTCAGTAGGCTGTGGGGCACTTAAGCTATGCCAAGGCAAGTGGTAGAAATTCTTTAGAAATTATGCTTTCTACTTTGCAGTGGCAAGAGGGATTTCTTTCCAGTGCATCGGCTCTATCTTCTTTGGCACTAATCTAATCTAACATTTTCTGTTTAAAGAGTTTGGGGAGGTCTATGCTGACTGACTCATGAACTTGACCATCCTTGACCTTAGGAAACTCTTGCTGGCACTGCCGCCCCCTCCCAGGACTGGGATGCCTCCTGCATCCTCCCTCCCTCCTCCATCCCGTCTTACATCACTCTGTAGCTGTCCCCCTGCCTTGGCCCGCAGCAGCTCAGGAGTATCCGCCACCGTGGAGAACTTGGAGATGCGCTCCTCATGCCCTTTCTTGTATTCCACCTGGTGAGGAGACGGCACAGAGACAAGTTTACACCCCCTCCCAGCCTCTGTGAGGACCTCGCCTTAGAGCTCTCCTGAATCTACACCATCAGGCCATGCTCCACACAGACCTGGGACAAGTCTATCATGGTCACAAAGGCACCTATGCACCATGCTAAATTCCAGAGAGCGCCAGGCACCGCTAAGTGTTAACCAAAGAGTAACTTGGTGTCCACAACTACTCATCCACTGGGATTATTCTTTTCCTTGCTTTTCAAATGAGCAGCCAGAAGAATAGAGAGGCTAAGTAATTAGCCTGTGGCCACACAGGAAATATGTGATAGAGCTAGGCTTCAAATCCCAGCATCCTAGTTCCAAAATCTGAGCTCTTAACCAAAAACTACACCAGACTTCAGGAGGACCTGCCATCTGGTTGATAAAAACGAGTGTCCTTAATACTAAAGCAACTTTAAGAAATCATTAGGTCCATTCTGGATGAGCTACATACAGGGTCTTTTCTCCATTTTGGAGATATGGCCCAATAGAGGCACAGAGGATAAATGAAAATAGTGTTTTAATTTCTCCCTAACACAACACTAATAGTTCCTACTGCACCAAAACACCATCTTATATTATTTTTTCTGAATAACAGAGCTTATTTAATGACAAAATTGAGTACAATCAAAGGTGAATCAACTCAGGACACTCACCTGGCTGGCCAGCTGATTGGCTTTCTTGGCCCTCTGATAAGCAGGTGTGATCATGGCCGGAAAGCTCCCCTTGCCTCTCTGCTGCTCATAGTCTTCTGGATACGCCTGTTGGCCAGAAGCAACGGCAGCGTGAGAATCAGTAAGCTACCGGAGGAGAACGAATCGGACCCACAGAGCTGGCTTCGAAAGAACAGGAGAACACTTCAATCACTTGGAATAAGTTTGAAAATGGTGCTTGAGTAACACCATCAACACCAAGGAGCTCACATTCCCTAGGTCAAAAGGTATTGTCTGCAGGATTCACACCAAATTGGGGGAGCCTGGTTCAACCCCACAGGTGTCCTTTGACTCCAAGGCTTGCTTGGCGGCAGCACAGCCATTCACACGGGAGACTTTGCGGGAACTGGTCTGCTCCAGAGAGTTCTACCACACCAGGAGAGGGAGGGCTCACTTGCCCCTCCGTGCTTTCAGATTGGATAGTTTTCCTAATAAAACATCTCACCTTAGCAATCACGTTTCTATTGCTTTCTTCCCACTCCCTAAAGGAAGAGTCACCAAGACTAATGGTATTTTCCAAAGTAGACTCTTCAAAGGGTCGGTGTGTGAGAGGGCCAGGGGCACGGTGTGCAAACAGCTGGGGACTTCTGCACTGGGGCTACTGGAACACTTTCTAGGGTCTCACAGTTTGGGGGGGGTGGGTCCTGGCTTAGCGTGGGCCAACAGGCTGACATCCCTGTGGTAGAACTAGGGAGAATCTGCTTCTTTCCCTTTTCCAGCTCCTAGAAGCTCTGACATTCCTGGGTTCCCAGCCCCACAACACTGTGACCTCTCTCTGTCCTTAGCATCTTTCCTAGAGTGGCCCCTCCTGCCTCCCTGTCATAAAGACCTTGTGGTTATATTGGGCTACCCGAGAATCCAGGTTTTTCTTGTCTCAAGACCCACAACTTAATGACACCTGCAACATCTCTCTCACATGTAAGGTGACACGCACCCAGGCTCTGGGAATTAGGACAGGGGACTGTTTGGTGGGTACAGTATTCCTCTGCTGCATTTCTCAAAACAAAGGGAAATTTCAGCCAATTGCTAACTACCTGCTAAAGCAATCGCTAAGGTGATTCCTAGGGCCCTTACCTCACCAAGAGACTGTCGGGCCTCAACCATCCTTACGATTTCGGGGTCTGGCAGAGCTCCTGGGCACCAAGCATTGCTTTCCCCATATCCAGGCCAGTAGGCTCTCTGCAAAGAAAGAGCAAGATGCTACAAACACATGCCTTGCACACTTGGTTGGCAAGATCCCCCATCCACCCCGCACTCCCAGCAGCACTCACATACACTGTCCAAATAACATCTTCTTTAAAAACCACAAGCTCCTATTGGTATGTGAGAAGTCTTCACTAACTAGCACGTTTGTTTCCTCAGACTAGAAGATGACCTAATATCCTAAGTGATAGAAATTTGTGAAATACACTGATGTTATAGAAAAATGTTCAAATATAACTTAACATCTTTTGCTCTTCTTTGCACTTGACTGGGCTGTGGGGAAGGAAGAGGGTCCCTGCAGACAGCCAACCTGAGATTAATCAGTATTATTCAGACAAACTTCAAAAACCTACTTTGTGTTATGTGCCTATTAATAATTTTTTAAAAAGGAAAAAAAAAGAAGGAAGACAAAGTTTCTTTTTGAAGGTATTTACCGTTGCAGATAAAATTAACATAGGAAAAAACAATTAGAAATCATTTATATGTAATCATGTTCTTTAAGGATGATGGACACAGTGAGAGGTTTTTTAATGTGCCTCTGTATGAGAAGGCCCCTGCCTTTGGTAGAAAGATAAAATTTTAGCTGGACCTTCAGGGCCAAGGTCAGTTAACAGGGCAGAGGGAGAGGGAAAGGCATCTATCTCCTCTAGGTCAGTTCCATGAGGCAGGGATGTTCATGCTCCATTATTAATGGATCCCCAGTGTCTACAACAGTGCCTGGCACACAGTAGACCCAGTAAATATTTGTTGAGTGATTCCCAGTAGTGTGGGCGGCCATGAAGGAAAGTAGAAGGCAGGTGGAAAAGACCCAGGAGCTGAGTTTAACTGACATGAGGGAAAAAGATAGGGAGCCAGTCAGACAGGGCAGGCTGGACAGGTTGGGCAGAACCAGCCTCTGGAAATCTGAAAAAACACTTGAAAATATGCTCAACTGCACTAGCAAGCAGCAAAATCTCGATTAAAACAAAATACAGATGGTCAAAATATCTGGTAAAACCAAGTATTGGTGAGAGTATAAGAAAATGGGTCATAGTCTGCCTGTGGGAGAATAAATGCACAACTGTTTTAACTCTGAAAATTAAAAAGGCACACACCCTGGACCTAGCAACCTTATTTTCATTATCTATTCTATAGAAACACTCCCTTTTATCCAAAAGAGGCCATGAAAATGAGTGTTCATTGCAACTCTGCATTAGGGAAAATATCCCTGCCCATCAATAGGATGCCATGGTATAAGCCTCTGAACCATGCACCATGCTACACCGGTCCACCACAGCTTGGAAGGCTGCCAATGTGGAAATGTCTCCAAGATATTTGTTGAGTGTGAAAAACAATGCATGTTGTTTCATGAGAAAATAAACATAGGCCTTTCAAAACAAATGTGTGTGAAACTATCAATAAAAATAATAATAGCCAATATTTATTTTATCTACCACTGTCCTGATATTTTTGTAGGTATTTTATCTTAATTTTCACAATAGGCTCCGTGAATTAGGAAGTTTCTGAAGTTCATTTTAAAGACAAGAAAACTGAAGCAAAAGAGTGTTTACATAACTTAGTCAAGGTCCTTCAATAAAGATAGGTATGTTCAAATGTAAGTAGTTGAAAGTTAGATAAGTGATAGGCAGGTAGATAGATGATTGATAAAGCTAAATGATTGATAGATCTAAATAAATAGAAAATAGACAACAGATAGCTAGATGATAACTAGAGATAGGTAACTGACAAATAACATATGTAAACAAAAAATAAAGTCAAGTCTAGGATACCCAAAAAGTGATTACAGTGGGTTCTTCTAAAGTGAGGGAACTGGATCGGAGGTGGTGGATAAAGGGTTAACTTTACAGTGCATAATTTTTTTTATAATAAGAAAAATGCAAGTATTATGGATGTAATTAAAACTAGATGACTGAGGGATTCTGAAACGAGGAGGCTGTCAACAGAGAGGGTGGTGGGACGAGGAAGTCGGGAACATACAAGAAGCCGTGCGTGACCAGCGTGGGCACAGGAGGCTGGGGAAAGGCGAATGTGCACGAGGCAAAGCCATCGCAGGAGGCCCTCACAGAGGTCCAGGTAGAAATGATGAGGATCCGAGTGGAGAGGGTGGCCTGGAGGGAAGGGCTGGGGCAGAGTGGAGGACCAGAGGAAGAAAGGGCAGCGCTGGTTGCAAGCCGGGGTGTGTGTGTGTGTGGGGGGGCTATTCCCAGGGACAGGAACATAAGGTTGGAGGGACAAGAACTTGGACTGGACAAGACACAGTTGAAGTGCTGCCAGGCATTGATGGAGGTCTCTTTCATAGCTGGTTGAATTTACAGAAAGGACAAAAGAAAACTTAATTGATTTTCTGTAGAAGTGACATTGCTATTACTACTGCTAACCGTCATCATCGTCATCATCCAACTCATTTGCATAGCCTGCCGTTTCTCTTTCTCCCAAGCCCTCCATCGCTCCTCTCTCACCTCGTTCACCAGCGGTTGCCTGTGAGGTGCATCGGGTCCATCCCTGGATTTCATGTCCCAGTGAAAAACCGATCTAAACTGTTCACCATCTTCTTGGTCATGGGTCTGCATGAACATGGTGAAGATGAACATGGTGAAGATGTTGTTGGTAACATTTCCATTCAGAGAAGAGTAAGAAAATAAATAAATAACACGGAGCTAAATTGAGGGGGATCTTTCCCAAGTCTTGACCGTAAAGTATCTTCCCCAAGGCACACTGCGCTGCCCATCTTGCTGTGGTCTTATCTGTGCCACCAGCTAGGTGGCACGTATTGTGCTCCTGCTCTGTGCCAAGCTGTGTTGAGCAGGGTGATTAACAAGACCGAGGTAAAGTCTCCATGAACTTAACACACAACACATAGTATTCAGGTTGGGGTGACCTCTGAAAATGTTGGACAACAGAGTAATGTTCTTTGCTTCATTCTGTGTGACCATCACCCAAAGAGTTCACTAAAATGCTGGCTCACCAGTTTCATGGGACTATTTTATTTCCTCATGGACAATTTTACCTCTAACATCTCACTCTATAATATACTTTGAGTTGATTTTTGTGCACAGGTGTGAGGTAGGAGGCAAGGCTCATTTTTTTTTTTCCATACAAATATCCAATCTCTCCAGTATTTTCTTGGAAGATCATTCTTGCTACACTGAATTGCAGTGGTGCCTCTGTTGTCATTTGAGGGACCACATCTGAGCAGAGCAATTGCTGGGCCTCGTATTCAAGACAACCCTGGTCTTTCCATTTTTGTACCAATTCTCCACTGAATGAATGAGTTCGACTTTTATAGTAAATCTTGATAACTTAGGATAACCTAAGTCCTTCAATTTTGCTCTTCAAGACTTAGAATCAGTCTGCCAGTGTCTACAAAACACACCATGATTTTTTTATTGAAATGGTACTGAAAGATGTAGCAGCACAGATGGCGCAGACACATGTATCTCAGTTTGGTCAGAACTGACACACTGTCAACATCTTCATCACTTGGGGTAGGCAAAGATTTCTTCAAGAAAACATGGAAACTAACCACAAAAGAGAAACTTGGGTCTTAGGTTCAAATGAAGGTAGCCCAATTTATTAGGTCTGAGATAGATAGGCCCAGATATCTGCAATTCTTAAAAGCTGAAGTTTAAATCCTTAATTTTATAGATAATAAGGAAACAGACCTGGAGAAAAATACACCCTCAGGGATCCTCGTTTCCCATCAAGGGAACATTTTCTTGCCTGACTTTCCTGGCCTACTACCGCCTACTGTTGCTTCATGCTGCTCCAAGGTGCACATTGTTAAATCCGTAAATGCTGACACCTTTACCGGCTGCTTTCCGAGTATTTGAAGGAAGTACCACGAGCATCACATAGACTTAAGGCAGGGTTTCTGATATTTTGGGGACCAGTTAAATCTTTTTTGTGGGGAAACTTCTTGAGCATTGCAGGGCATTCAACAGCACCCCTGGTTTCTACCCACCAGATGCAATAATTGCCCTTCCCAGCTGTGACAATCACAAATGTCCCCAATTCCACTGAGGATGGACAAGAGGAGAGCCATAGTGTGACCAGTAACGTCCAGCATTTAGGACTAAAGTTCAAACTCTGAATAGGTGAGAACACAGATGATTATTCTTCTAAAAATTCCACTCACACCTATCAAACACGACATTCTGTCTTAGTAAATATTTATTTATTTTTCAAAGAAGGGCATTTTGGAAACACAGAAACGTAAGTCTGCTGCAAATGCCAGCTTAGAATCTGTGCCCTCTTTTCTCCTTCACCACCATCCCTGAAGCATCTCTTTCTTTCCTCTGTTTTCTTAGCTCATGCACAATGATTTTTTTTAAAACTTTCATTGGCAAAGTCTTTCAGAGACATAAGGGGCATAAAAAATAACCCATCACACCCCCTAGATTGGTTGCATAAAAGTCTTGCGGGAGCAGATCTGGGGCCTAGAAGGGACATAGCTGACCATTTAAAATTTTCCCTGGTGGGAAAGGAGAAGAAAGGGATCTCAGTAGTCATTTGTACATACACACGCACACATGCACACACATACCATTTACACATCTGTACACACGCACACACATGTACACGTGTACGTGTATACCACACACGCCTGAAGACAGTGTGTGCACATATATATACACACCACATGCACACACATACATGCAAAGGCATATACACATACATATGCACATATACACATTCATACCTAGCACACACACATATACATATGCGCACACACACACCATGTACACATATGCGATACACTTTAATATGTAGACACACATACACCCATGCACATATCACATGTACATATATGTATGTGTGTGCCCACATATTCATACCTGCATACACACATACACGCACTCCCCACATACACACATATGTCCATACACACACAGTCATATAGTCACATAAATTCACACAAATAGACACGCTCAGGCCTCCTGGGATGCCCACATGACTGCCTGTGGCTGGAAGCAGAACCAGCGATAATCCTAGCCTCGAGCCAGGTTGGACCTGTCACACACAGTTAAAAGAAAGAGAGTTTAGCACTGCAGCAAGGTAAATCCTGTGTGACCTGTTGCATGACTGTAAAGTGGAAATGCCAGCTGCAGCTCGGGTAGGGTTGGAAGATGCGACACGACACGACAGTCTTTCTGTAGAGAGTGTGATACATGCAAGAGCATTCTGTAAACACATCTCCCGTTCACAACTGTAAAACCATCTGGATAGGTGCAAACATCAACAAGTATTTTTTTTGCTTCTGGAGAGTTTTGCCACCTTCTAGTTAGATATGGAATTGGGCCGATGACAAGAATTCTGCAGTCAGAAAGATCTGGATTTGTACCCACCGAGCTGGATGAACCTGGGCAGGTTACTTAACCTCTCTGAGCCTCAACTTCCTCAACTGCAATATGACACTAGGACAGAGGTTCTCGTGAAGAATACATGAGAAAACAGAGAACTCAGCTGAGTTCCTGGCACTGTTGAAGTAAGAGCTAAATTACACTTATTGTAATTTCACATAGCTGCCCGCAGACATCAAAAGATAAAAATCAAAGTTCTAAGAGGCTTAGTCTTCTTAGTAACCTAGGATTGCTAGTGGATTCTTAAGGCTTGTGGATCTTTAGAAATCAATGAGGGATGACCAACTGTCTGGGCCTCAGTTTCCACACCAGTAGAGTAGGAAAATAATAGGATCTACTTCATTGGTTTGTGATGTGTAGGAAGTGAATTAAACAAGTCTATTATGCTTGTTAAATAAACATAATGTAAACTGGCCAATAGTGTGGAGCACTTAGTGACATAAAGTTTTCCCGGAGCAGATGTAAAGAGTCACAGGGCAAGGGCGGTCACTCCGTCTAATATAGACTCTCCTGATGGTGAGGCCACTGTCAGTATAAGGGGTGAGGGGTAACACCAACAAGGGACATGGGGTAAGGAGAGATTATTAGAGAGCCCTCCACCTCGCTGGTAATTTTCTAATTTTAGAAAGTTGCTAACCGCCATCCCACAATGAGTCATCACTTTAAGAGATGCAAGAGTTCCATCAAGGGCTAGTTATTTGACAAAACTTCACTGTTGATGTTTCAAAAGGGAAAAGGGGTCAGGCTCATCAACACGGCCTCTGCATCCACCTCCCGCTTCCCCTCCCAAAGCCAGTCTCATTTCCAAATCCAAACATCTTTGACCTCCCCCTACCCGCAGGGGAAAGAGAGGCTGCACATAATCTTAAGCAATTAATGAAAGAGAGGTTTCAGAGTGTGGAAGTGGAAGTTTTGAATGTTCTGTACCAAAATATTACAGAGGAAAGAAAAGAAGGGCCCTTGTAATATCTTCCAACCCTGCAAATTTTGCTTTATGTATTAAGCACTAGCGTACGCAAGGCCTATTCAACTAACACCATCTGCCCAGAGCGGGTCAGACAGAAAGATTATATTAGAATCAAGGATCAAATACTGAACCCAGATTATCCTGTGTATTGGCCCCAAATGTTGAGGGAGGACAAAGAGCGACATGTGCTATTTAAATACACTTTGCATGGGTCTGTGGAGGAAATAAACCATCCCCTACAGAGATCCACTTAGAAACCTAACAGGTGCCTAAGCAAAGGGATTTTCTTAAAAGGCTATTTTGAAACGTAAAAATTAAGTGACTTACCCCACCCACGGCTCCTGGAATCTTCTTCGCATTTAGATTTAATGGCGTGTGATAGACACTAGTGAACGTGTTGTTCTTGGGGTTATGGCTACAAAAATGAGGTATAAATCAAAATCAGGAACACCCCCTTATCCAAGATGATTGAATGATTATTCTTAATGGTACTGTTGATTTTTTAAAATCAGTAAATATAAAATTTAATAATTAAGTTCATAGTTTTCTGGTCAAAAAAGTCTTAAAACAAAAATAAAACCAATTAAATTCAGCACATAAGGACTTAAAGATAAACTTTAACTGATCACTTGAGAGCTTTCTTAAAAAACCTAGGAAAGGATTTGAAAGTGACTTTAAAAATCTTAGAGTGCTCTCTGCCTATCTGCTGGCAGTTAAACTGCACAACACTTAACAAGTGAATAAGAATTTATTGTAGATAGATTTGATCTTTAAGAAATTTGGAATTCTCTACCCACTGCATAACACCGCACTTTGGATCTTTTCCGTGATTGGATGTGAGTGGACACTTTGGGGACACTGCTTGGATTTAACCGTGGAGGGCACAGGTTGCTCCTTTAGGAGACCTACTTGTCAAAAAATGAACAAAACTCAAGCGGCAGGGAAGGGGCATCAGACACTTACGCGTGACAGTAGGGCTTTTTCTGGTGACTCACAAAGTTATTCACAGTCAGCATCATCTTGCACACTTCACAGTGGAAACATGCTTTATGCCATATCTAGAAATCACAGAGAAGACTCAGTGATTGTTTATCCCCCACCCCAGGCTCAGGATTCCTATATATTCTGGGTTTTAAAGATTGAGATGTAGGAATAAAATGGTGATTAAAAAAATTTAAAAACCACACACACACACATATAATTATTTTATGTTAAATAAATACAACTTTTTTTTTTTTTTGAGGCAACCTAGAGGACACGGAAGTGGGTAGAACCTAACGAAGGTAGAAAAGTACATCTTTCTCCTGTGGTTCAGAAAAAGCCACATATCCATATGTAAGAAGACAAGTATCCCATGTTTGTCATTATTCCCAAAGGCCAGGCTGTGGCTACTGACCTGGTCGATGCAGCTGATCTTCTCAGCAGGATACACCCCATAGCCACACCTGGAGCAAGCCTGCACGTTCATCTTGGGGTCTGAAGAATGAAGACAGGGGCAGACAACAGGCGAGAAATCCAAGGAGAACCCCCAGGCTACTTGCTCAAGTCTCCAAAATCCCCACGACTACAAACTCCTATGGGCTCCTTGATCCAGCGTTCAGAATCCAACGTCCACTTTCCTTTACTGACCTTCTGGTTTGAGTCAGCAGTTGGTTGGTTTTTAAAGCCACCACTTACTCAAGGGGCTATTTTGGCAACTCGCTCTCAGCACGCATGCGTCTGAGAAATAAGGTGGAGGTATTTCTAGCTGACGGGCTTCTCTAAATAGAAGAGTGAACTCACACAACAGCATCATGTTTATGTGGACAGCCAAACCCTGGGGTAGGACCAGGCAGCGGGTAGTAGTCGAACAGTAGCTGTGATCACAACCCAAGAAAAGAATCTGGAGCCTATGCCACGCACCACCCGTGATCTAATTAGAAAAGCTGGCTGTAGGCATTCTGTGACTAATGCCAAGAGGCCAGCTCCCGAGAACTCAGGAAGTCAAACAGGACTGATTCACTCCCCTGGAAGGGCAGAGCTCATACGTGAATTTTAGCTTTATCTACTAGAAACACTTAAACATCAAACATTTTTACTTAAACAACAGTATAAGTGAAAAATTAGTAAGATAAATTGTGGGGAGCGTCCATTGGGATGCAAAATGGCAAATGAGAACTCTTAGTGCTCAGGCCTTTGTATTCTGTCCTGTTCCAAACAGGACTTTCTGCTTGTTCTCTTGTGTCGTGGGCCTTCAAAAGTGTAGCTTGAGGACAAAAATCTCTTCCCCCTCACTTTGTGACACTCTCACTGCCTTCCGTCTCAGCTTAAATGTCACCTTGTCACCTTATACAAAAATGCTCCCTCACCTGCCACCACCACCCCAAGCTCATTTACCTTCTAGTCCTTACTTCAAGCTTTAGGATCTTCACTGTAGTTATTACCACCTTAAATATGAATGTATTTATTTTTAATTCTATCACCCCCATCAAAATACAAGCTCCACCAACACAGGATATTTGGTCCTTGTTGCCAAGTCTATATTCCCGGAACCCACCACAAGGTCTGATACCTAAAGAGTATGCGATAAATATTTATTGAGGCTGGACACAGTGGTGCACACCTGTAATCCAAGCAGCTTGGGGGGCTGAGGCAGGATGAATCTCAAGTTCAAAGCCAGCTTCAGCAAAAGCAAGGTGCTAAGCAACTCAGTGAGACTCTGTCTCTAAATACAATACAAAACAGGGCTGGGAACATGGCTCAGTGGTTGAGTGCCCCTGAGTTCAATCCATGGTACACGCAAAACTTTTTTAAAAAATGTTTATTTAGTTAATGAACTAAGTTAATACTCATCCCACCATGCCTGTAGAAGCCAGGTTTGAAGTCACAGGACCTTCCCAAATGGAGGAGAACACACCTCATCCAAAAACCCCAAACTCCTCAGACCCAGCCATCTGTTATCACAGGGAATTAGTAACCAGTGTTCCCAAATGTTCTGATATATCCAGAGAAGCTGAAAACATGCATTTACACACAAAATTACCTCTTTTATATAACAAAAATGGGCACAGAACAATTAAACAGGGCCATAGGTAGTATCTTTCTGGCAGGCTACCAAAATTAGCAATCTTTGATCTCAGTGCTCTGAGATTAGGCTGGGTGTCACCAGGTCAGGTGGAGAGAGGTCAGTAGTATTTTTGTGTGACATTGGGACATCCACAGGAGAAAAAGTAAGTGAAGAAGAATAATGTTCCCCTGAGAACAGGCGAGTTTCAAGTTCTCCCCTGTGGGCACAAAGCTGCTGTGTGCACCACAGGAGGGGGACCCATCAGGGACTCCAGGCTGCGCAGACTCTCTTGAGATGTAGCTTGGGTAGGTGATGAGGCAGCAGGGTTGCCACGAGCCATAGCAGATGCGAAATGCAACTCCAGATGTTTTGCTCTCCACCAAATTTACCAAGTCTTACCTGGCTATGGGGTGGGAGCCCTCAAAATCACTGAGAATGCACTTGCCCCCAGTCTGGGGGCCTGGGGGACTGAGAAATCAGGGTCGACTGCATTCAAGGAAAAAGCCGTGAAACATTTTTTTCCTTGCCAAAGGTGGTGATGCAGCCCTCAGCTGTCACCCCTTCTCAGTCACACTCAGGAAAACACGGATGCTGCAAGACAGCTGCTTAAGTTGACTTGCTCTGTCACTTCTGCTGTCAGATGTCAGAAATCAAGAGGAGAAACCCCCATCAAACTGGAAACGGGATGGTTTCCACTCACTGCCAGGCAAGATAGTCGGGCTGATGCTGTGCTTTGGATGTGACCAAGTTTCATGTGCTGGAAACTTCATTCTCTATGCCACAGGATTGGGAGGTGGGCCTAATGAGGGGTGACTGGTGGATTAATGTCATCGCCTGAGTGAGCTGCTCCCTCTTGCCCTCTGGCCTCTGTCATGAGATGACACAACATGCAGGCCTTCCAACTTCATGCTGTCGGACCTCCCAGCCTCCAGAAGACTATGAGCCAAATACATTTCTGTTCCTTACAAATTACTCAGTTGTAAGCATTCTGTTACAGAAGTAAAAAAAAAACCGACTAAGACAACAGACACTGTGCATGGACCACGCCCCTCTCCTATTCTGCACAGCCCCCTCCCTTCCTGGGCTTCCATCCCTCCCTTTGACACAGGTTACAGCAGGCCATTGGAGACCCAGTCGATGAGCACACCAAGGGCTCCTCTGGTCACAGGGATTGGTTCAAACAACATGTGGCCTTAGCCTGGATTCTCCAGGACACAGAGCCCGAGGTCAAGGCTTACGTGGCAAGGACTTTACTATGCAGTGTAATCCAGGGAGCAGGAATAAATGGGCAGGAAATGAATGAGGGGCATGGTCAGTAAGAGGTTTGGTTCTCAAGTTGACCAGCACCTGCTACAAGTTGAGTATCCCTCATCTAAAATGCCTGGGAACAGAAGTGGTTTGGATTTCAGAGGTTTTTTTGTTTTTGTTTTGTTTGTTTTTGTTTTGGAGTATTTGCATATACATAATGAGTTATCTTGGATTTGGGAAGCAAATCTAAACATGAAACTCATTTATGCTTCATTTACACCTTATATGCATGGCTGGAAGATAATTTTATACATTTTTTTTTTAGATTTAGTTTTTGAACCCAAGACCTCACATGTTTGGCAAGTATTCTACCACTGAGGCACGTCCCCAGCCCTACACAATATTTTAAATAATTTTGATCATGAAACAAAGTTTCACAGAATAAAATTTTCTATTCATGGTATCATCTTGGTGCTCAAAAAGTTTCCTGTTTTGGAGTTTGGGATTAGGGATGCCCAATATGTGTAAGCTATATTAGATCACTAGATCTCCATCTTCAGAAACCACATAAATGACTGCTACCCAGTCTGTGATCAGCTTTCTCTCCTGTTAGTGAAAGATTTTGAGCATTAAGTCCTTTATTCTTCATGCCGTGTGTGTGTCCAGAGAGTCCCAGAGCCTGTCGTGTCTTACTGTCAATGGGAAAACCCCAACAGCAGCAGAACCCTAAAGACACTGTGGTTTGAGTCCATGAGAAGATGCCAGAGCCCTCCTAGAGCTGGGTGCCACCAGTGTGGCTGGGTTGGCATAAGTAGGCACAGGGCCTTGACAGGTGAAGCCAAGTGGGTCTGAAGGAGCAGCTGAGAGGCATGTGACGCTGTCCCATCAGCAGAGTCCAGGATGGGGGCCTGGGGGTGGATCAGGTAGAGCTTTGTGGAGCCTCCATCTGGATGCCTCTGCAGCACCACCCCATGTTGCTTTGGCTGTTTTAAGTCTTGGCTCAGGGAGCTGGTGACCAGTGAAAAGCTGAACAGCCTTTTGTTCCACGTGAATGACTGTTGCATTCATGGGGCACTCGGTTTCCCTTTGAACTTAAATGTAGTGTTCCCTTTTTACCTCTTGATAAATAAAAGAGCAGACCCCTTGAGTCAGCTGGTCAAGATCTTTTTATGTCTTGATTGTGTCATCCCGAGCATGAGGCAATTCTTCCCAGCTCCAAAATCATTTCCTGCACTCTCAGGGCTGCATCTATGGCCTGGTTTTGAAATTACAGAGGTGACAAGGGTCAAATGAGGGGACAGCTACTGACCCCTTATTCTATCACTGCTGCTCAGGATAGACTGGGGCTGTTCCTCCCATGCCAGGAATTCATGTCTGCCGTGGTTCATGGTTCCAGCAGAGCTGGAAGCCAGAACTTGGGTACAGATAGCTTGTTTGGGAGATGGTCCCACGGACTAAGGAAAGAAGAGTCATTAAAGTGAGTTTATTACGGCTACAGGCAGTTGGGGCTCAGTCTTGCTGGGGACCCTTTGGGAAAGTGTATAGAATGTGCTCAGAATCATCCCACTGAAGGATGGGGGTCTGGGAAGCTTGCCCATTCATGTCTCATGGCCCATTGCTGAGTGTTACCCCTATACCTTTAAATCCCCCTTTGCCTTTAGAGTAGCAGGTCTGCAGGAGCTGCAGGGACTTCTGGGGTGGGCAACATGCATGGAAGGAGCTAACCTTGGTGAATGGAAGGGAAGACACATGGGGTGTTCAAGAGTCGCTCACTCAAAGAAGCTGGCCGTGGGCTGGGGAAAGGGCAGCTCTCCTGTGAGATGCAGCATGCACTCCCCATGCCGCTCCTCAGAGCCCATGGTGTCGACTCGGTTCCCTCCTCCCCTCCTCTGCACCCTACAGTCAATACTGTGTCCCCACACTTGGGGTGGAGAATTCACAAAGCAGAGCCCTGTCTCCAGCGCTCACGCTCTCTCACCTACCCTTACCTCTGTTCCTGGGCATACAGGGCCAAGGCTGAATAATAAAACCCAACTGCGGGGGCTGCCTTTTCCTGGGCCAGAAGCCACCCCTACTGAAGCCTCTCTCGTGGATGGCAGTCTTTCCCCTGTGTCCTCTCATGGTCTCCCCTCTATGTGTTTCTGTGTCCAAGTTTCCACTTCTTAGAAAGAAAAAAGTCATATTAGATTGGCGTCCACCCTTATGACCTCATTCTACCTCTTTAAAAACTTTACCTCCAAAAACAGTCCCATTCTGAGGAATCGGGGGTTAGATAAACTCACACAAAACATAACAACGGAACATGTCACTACCCCTGGAGCTGAAATGGGAACCCAAGAA